ACAGACAATGAAAAATTGTCATTCTTTGAAAGAAATCTGCTTCAAGATACATAGCAAAATGACATTTCAAGGATTTAAAAGTGAAACTGATTTACATAATGCTAATTTATGACATTGCGAAAGGAAAATTGATTGCGATGTGTTTCGCGTTTGAGCAAAATCAGCTGTTTTATGTTTATTCTGGACCGTCCCTTCAAAATCTGCTTATCAGAGTTAAAAAAACTGTCAGATAGATCAAAATTGATATTTATTCAAGTATTTAGGCTATTTCAACCATTTATGACCACTCCCAGTATGAAACAGTTCTGAAAAACATGTTCAGAAATTACTTTAAAAAATGGACTGGTCTCGAAAAAAATGCCCGATCCGAGGCCTTCATTTGAACTAAAATGATTGGAATCGATGCGATAGTCCAAAAATTTATACGAAAATTGCTTATTTCTATCATTTGATGCTCCTGGAACCCCTATGTCAGAGAAAATGACTCAGGTGAGCTTAAATGTGAAGATGAATAGCTCACCAAACACTTAAATGCATGATTTTTAACTGTCGATGAAGAATTACCTCCCCTTGATTTTGCTCTCTAATATAGACATGAGGCAAAATATGCACTTTAAAAGCTCATATTTCACCATAGCCACAGCTTTGGGGTAATATAAACATGTAATTATGATATTAAAAAGTACTTACAAAAAATCAAATTTTGCTCTTAAGGGGGCAATACACAGTTTTCAAGGCTTCTCGGCAAACAACTGACTGCGCCACAATCAAAACCTCACACGCAAGTCTGTAATCACACACCTGAAATAAATGCATCTCATATTTAACATATACATATGTATCTCACAGCAAACAATTAAAAATACATGTCCCCCTTCTAGTTTTCTGGCACATAGCCCTGTGTTTTTCATTGTTTTGGTCGCGAAAATCAACGACAAAAATAGCGGATTACCCCTATTCGCAAAATACAACAATATATTAACGTCAAAAGATTAAATCACAAGCTATAGTGATTCTTCCTTCTTAAACAATGCACAATCTGAAAATAACATCCAAACGGGGAGTCATGCACCTACTTTTTTCACTATTTTAAGTCTTCTGCATACCCTTTAAATTGAAGAGCTGATTCACCGCCTAGCTCCAAAAACCACATGTTCGCATCCGACAGGTGCTCTCTCAAAAAAGCAAGGGTTAACGCCACTAAATTCAATTTTACTAAATAACTGAAACACAATACTAGTCATTAAAACTTGAAATATAGCAACTATAAACATTTAGAACCTCAAATATCCACTTCCATTTCAAAATTGTCTCTTATTTGTAAATTCCACCCTGGCCAATTCGAAACTAAACAGCCGAAACTGTGTACTGCCTCCCATGCTAAAAACCAAAACGAAAGCGGAAGCGGAAATGCAAACAGCAACAACAACAAAAACAATAAAATACCCCGGTCTCCGGTCTCCGGTCTCTCCCGGTCTATTTTGATCGAAATTTACGATAGTATCACAATTATACTGGCCCGGTCAGTAACGGTCTTCTAAAAAATTATCGATCTTTCTAGATGAAAAATGTGTTTATATAAGCTTTTTTTCGTATACTATATTGTATTTCGTTTCAAATTAATTATTTTTAATTATGTATTTTTTTTGTTGTTACAAATTATAGTATCTATAATCAAAGCTATAAATGTAAAAGCGCATTAATTACGGGGAATGACATTAATTATTTTATGTGAACATAAAATTTTATAAATGAAACTAAAATTACGAGGAATTTAAAATGTGTACAATGTTGATGCTCTTGTTTGTTTGTTGTTGTTGATGTATTGCATAAATATTTGATTTCGTTATATGAATAACACATTATCATTATCACGTCACATTGCGATTTTTTTACATTTTGAAAATAATAAGATAATGTATAATGTTATATCATATGTATATGTTATATTTATGTCATTATTTATAATTGCTTTTTGTGCATAATTTTGATGTATATATGTTCTGTGTTGTTGTGTTATTGTCAATGAAATTGTAGTAAAGTTATAAATTATTGACGATATTTCATGCCCATTTTGCAAAAAAAAAGAAATATAATGCAACAGTCATTTTTTACTTTGAATTATAACATTTTAATTTATAATTATAATTGTTACTTTTTTTGTTCATCCATCTAATATTGTATCCGAATTATTCTGATTATTTTTATTATGCTATTGGATTACGTCAAGGGGAGGTAATTTCATCGATTTTATTATCTCCCTTTGTAGACGATTAAGAGTTATATTATATTATATAAACTGGTCATGAATCAGGACTGTCATTCGACGATGTTATTTTGATTTAACTGTTATTTGCTGACAATATCCACATGGCCATCTTAGGAAAGTCACCATTGGAACTGCAAAACCATTTGGATCTTTGACATTCATAATGCTCTTCATGGGGATTAAAAGTAAATACCAGCAAAACAAAAGTAATGTTTTTTCGAAAACGAGGGGGTTATTACAAAATGAGAACTGGACCTATGATGGCCAAATTTTAGAAGTTGTGAATGATTTTAATTATTGAGGTACTGTTTTTAAAATTTTATACAGGCAATTTTTCGCTTAACCAGGAACACTTGGCAGGGAAAGCTTTAAAAGCTCTTAAAGTTTTGTTTTACAATTGTTAAAAGTTTGATCTTAAACCTAAGATAGTATGTCAATTATTTGATGCTTTAATTGTGTATATTTTAGGATATGGGTCTGAAATTTGTTGTTACACGAAATTTAATCTAAAGAATTGGGAAGAATCCACTTTATTTTTTTTTTCACAAAGCGAAAATTATCTATCTATCTCTGGATACTACCAACCCCTCTTACGAGTGTTAAATTTAGGCAGGAATTTAGTGCACAAATTAAGGTTTAAATTTCATTATTTCCTTTCAAAAGAAGAAATTAATTGACTTTTTGCTACTTTACACTTCGATCTCTTTACTATTTTAGGCACACCCGAGTCGCCCTAAAAACTAAAAGTTTGACGTGACTATTTATCAAATTCATTAAATCATAAAGCTTGTATCTTTTATTTTGTGTCTGTTTTATGACATGCAATATTATTTCATTATATATTGACATAGATCTGTTATTCAACCTGCATATTTGTTTTTTTTTAAATAATGAATTTAGTGGTCATATGCCTTTCCATGAACAGAATATATTCTGATTTAATCAAGCAAACAAGTTTTCAACATGTCTACTCTAACAATCGACGAGCCAACATTTTTGGACAATTTCCTTTATTATGGCCTGTTTCTGGGTGCAATATTTCAGTTAGTGTGTATATTCGCTGTGGTATTCATACCTCAAAGTGAAAATGAGGAGGTAATATTATTTGTTGTTGAAATGATTGTAAATTTTAAGAATTTGTAAAAGTTTGTGACAAGCCCCACCCAGTACTGTACATAATCCGCTGTGGGGCATTACCGTACAGGGTGTATGTACAAAGTGTTTTGCGGGGAATAAGTGCAAGTTTTAAAGAAGAATAGGTTAAAAATAAAATCAACTCTGGCATATTAGGGCCCTATGTTTAGTCCACCTCCCTTGAAAGCCTCGAGGCTGACCAGTGGCTGACTGCTGTGGAAGCTTGTTGCAAATTTGGATGGCCGAGGGTACAAAAGAGAACTTCATGGTGTCAGTTCTTCTAATTGGGCCGTAGCCATGGCCACCAAGTGTCAGGCAGTGGAACTGGAAGTACTATGCAGCTGGGATGGCTATAAGGTTTTGCGTGATTCTGTAGACCATCACTAGCTTGGCATTGGAGCGGTGATGCTGTAGTGTTGGCCATTCTCGCATTGGTGCTGCTGGTAGTCTTGTAGTCACCTTTTACCAAATCGGGCAGCTCACCTTTCAGCTGGTTGATGTTGGTGGCTGTGTGTGGGTCCCAGACTGTGCCTGTGTACTCCAGGATGGGTCTGACAATGGTCTTGGCCTTGATGTTTTGTGGGCAGCTTGTGATATTTCTTCTAAGGAATGATAGGGAGTTGTTGGCTTTCTTGATGGTAGATTCTGTGTGTATATTCCATGAGAGATTATTTGCGGTGTTGACACCAAGGTACTTTCCGCTTTTTACTGAACGAAGAGTTGATGATTGGTGGACCATGTAGGCATGAATGATGGGGTTCCTTTTCTTGGTGATGTGTATTACTTCAAATTTGCTGGTTTGAAGGACATCATCCACTTGCGTTCCCATTTATGGAGTCGACCTAGGTCTTCTTGGAGAGCTAGTGCGTTAAGGCTTCTCAGTTGATTCTTCTGTAAATCAGGCTGTCGTCAGCAAATAGGCGGCTGGTAGAAGTCAAGTACCTTGCTAGGTCTTTGACGTAAAGGAGGAACAGCAAAGGACCTAATACTGTTCCCAGGGGTACCCAGGATGTGACCAGACTTCCCGAAATACGTCAGTCCGACGGTTATGTCCAATAAATTTTCATTAGGTCCGACAGTTTTTATTCCGGACCGGTCCGACTGTCCGGCTTTTATCCAAGTCACATGTATTCAGTGTTTTGAATAATTGTTGAAGCAAATTTTATACCCCATCATGTCTGTAAACTTATGAACTGAATAATCTTTTAATAAATTGGTAAATTATTTACAAATTTACAGTCAGTCCATGTAATGATGTAAACATGGATAAAATCCTAGACCTGAATGATTATATAATTATTTATTATCATATTTTAGGAGCCACTTGATGAGCCTGTTCAAGAGACAAAGTCTGGTGCCACATCTCCACAAACATCAATGAAAAAAGGTGGTAAAAGGGAGAAAAAGAAGCACCGCTGAAAGGCTGCTTGATTGAATCTCATTCATTAGAATCATTACTCATTAATCAAGGTAAATCTTTTTTTTCATCAACAGCTGCATCGACGCCTGGCTGCATAAAATGCAGATATACAGTAGAACTCAGTTAATTAGACAACTTGTAAGTTGTTGGCTGGAAAAGTAGGATGGTCTTATGTTTTGAAAAGTGTAGCTGTTAAAGAATTTAAGGTCTCCTTTCTTAAAAATGGACTTGATATAAACCACATCTTTAATAAAAGCTATTATACAAAGCTATTAATTTGTCTGCTGGAACTCATTGATTATTAACTTTTTGAAAAGCATTGACCTTTAAGAAATAAGGAAATAATTCTAAACTGACTCGATTCTAACACATGGCATTGCCATTCTTTAATATAAGATTTTTAGTGTTAAGGCAGATCAATGCTGGAAATTTTGGACTCGAAAAACGTAATTTTGTCATTAGGTCCTTTTACCAGACCTACATGTATCTATAATAAGACATGTATTGCTCAAGGTAACAGTCTCATGCTCCATTAACTTAAATGTTTGTCACTGTAGACCTCTAAATCTGTCCAATACTTTATGAAATCAGAACATGAAAACTGAAGTAGATTTTTGTATATTTTCAGGTGTACCAACATTCCAGTTGTGAATAGTTATGATCTCTTAGTAGTGGTATAGACTGTTTACATGATGACAGTGTTGTGTGCATAATTTACATGTATATAGTTAGTAACGCAACTTGCTTGTTTATTTTTTCTCATGGTAAAATATTACACTAGAATATACAATGTATGTGTATTACATAGTCAAGTTATATGCGTTGTTAATCATTTCAAAAAAGAGATCGGCATAATGGTGAAAACATTCTTCCATGACAAGGGACAAAACTGAATGTAAAAAGAAAAGTAACTAGGTCTCCCTTAGATGTCTTAAGGTTAGAAATTTACCCTCTATCATAATGTCAATGTAGGTATTTTTATGATGTAAGGTTAATGCTTTATGAATTAAAGATTGTCTTTATACATTTTCGAAATTTATACTGCTTTATTCTTAATTGAAACACAATCTGCATAATTTTATACATGTACACATTGTTTAAATACTGAAGGTTAAGCAGGTTTACTCTCTCAAGTAACAGTGTAACTTACATAAATTTGTAAAATGCTTACAAAAACTTATTTTATTTACATACATATATTTTTTCAGTTTATTTGAAAAATAAGCAATTGTTATAGCAGGGGGTCGAACGTATAGCGGTGCGATACTCCTTTAAGCGAGGTGATTTCATGCGATACGCCCTAATGGCGGATTTACCCGTGTAAACACACGTCAGAGTGAGTGTTTTTTATTAAGTATTTCATAAATCTTCGATTACAATTGCATATTTTGTATTGAGGATGTGAAGATAGGACCGACACACATTTCATCAAATTTACAGAGGCCTAAATTCATAATTTAAAAAGTTATTGAAGGTAAACTGACGGCAACTAATTTTGGGTCGGTGAATAAAATCGCTTAATGCAAGCTTATATTAATATAGTTAATTTCTTTTTCTTCTTTATTCTATAAGAGTAATCATTATTAAGTTGCATAGCAAGTACCTTTGTGCTCCGATATACATAGACGCTTACTGGTCAAAATATTTAAGTGTACGCTGGATTTTGGTGCGATAAAATAACTGTACGCTGTTAAAGGTTCGATATGTTTCATTGTCACATCTGCTGTACATGTTTTCCTATGATTATACTAAGATATCTACCATATATGTGCCCGTTTCCGGAATTCTAAAATCTTCTTTCCTTAAAGATTTACTTGAAATAAAAGTATTGTATAACCATCTATATAAGTGTTAGAACTTAATTTGAATAATTAGTAATAATTATCCTTTGATAATTAGGAGTTGGAAAAAGGTAACCTTTACTCTAAGATCTTAGATAAAAAGTAGGAATTTGACCAAAAATATGTAAGAATGAATTTAAGAAACAAATTACTTAAGAAATCTTGTATAAATTAACTCACTTTCAAAGCAGAACATTTCAGAAAAATAGCTGTTAATATGTGATATAAGGGCTGTTTTACTTCATGAGGTTCTAAGATCTTTTGTACATGCTGCTGTCAAACTGATATTTTTTCATATTATAAATAGAATTGAACATTTCAAACAACCTATAAAATACAGTGAAAGTACATTTCACTGCTGTTCTAGAGATAGAGACTGAGAACCAGGTGGTAAAAATCTTTAGGTGGTAAAATTCTTTTCTAAAATGTTGCTTAGAACAGGCTATTTTTGTAGTGCACATAATTGTGGCCTGTCAGGAAAAAACACAAAACTACAATTTCAAAATTCAGTCAGTCATTGGACACCAAACAGCTCAGTGTCTTTCTTAGGAACAGCTGATCCTCAAATGTGCAAATACACAGTTGTAAATGTTACAAAAGTAAAGTACAAATGCTGACACATGTACAAATAAACAAAAAGCTATTGAGTATATAATATAAGATTGAGTCACACTGCTTATGGAGTAGTATATAATTAAATAACGCATGGGTTTGTGGGTTACAGTTAGAATATCATCCCAAGGAAAATACTGTTAGCCAAGGTGTTAGCCGAGGGAAACAGTATTTTTAGGAGGGTTGATATTTTTACTGTTACTCACACACGCTTGTGTGTTATTTATATTATTTCCCAAACAGATACTGTAATCTATAATACTTTTATTTACATAAAACGCACTTGCCCAGATTCTGTACTGTTAAAAAGTGCTGTTATCCTGTAACAGTACAAATCTCTTGGTACACTTTCTTTAACAATAAGAGTAACTCCTAGTGGAAATGAATATTTACAAAAAAGTGAGGGGTAATGTATACATTAAATGTTGCAGAGAAAGCCTAGTTTTAAAAGTAAAACTACTGGCAGATATGTTAAATCACTAAAAGTATGAATCCTGTTGACAAACATCAGAATTACTGAAATACAATGATGTGCTCTGTATATAATATATAACATCCAATCCATAGAGGAAATCAAACCAGTATTTTTTTTTATAAATTTCAAGTTCCATTGCAAAAAAAAAAAAAAAAACTAAATGGAAGAAACAAAACGAATATTATCGTGACTATTGATTATTTGATAGAATTTCAAATTTCTGTGCATAACTTATCTCATTTTAATGATTAACATTTGTTAGAAAAGAATATTTAAATTAACTATATCATAGTATAATACATTAATTGACACTGTTGTTTTAATTGACACTGTGGTTTACATATGATTAACATACAAACTCAAAACTTGATATTTCATCAAAACTGAATAAGAATGTACTGTTCTGAGGAAGCTACAGAAAAACATACCAACATTTGTGCGTACAGTTGGTTTATCGGACCAAATATTAGGCATACAGTAAGAAAACTGGAAATATTTTATATATTTTCGGATGTATATGGAAAACTACTCTTGTATATCGTTTTGTTTTCAAAAATAAACATGTTGGGACCTAAACTAATCGAATATCTCGTTTTAAAACGACTGATACATTATTCGTTTGCATGTGCATATCAGGTTGACGGTTGAATTTGCAGCAACAAATACCTCAATAACTTCCTCAATTCCATAAAATTTAGTATTCTATTTTGACAATCATGCACATTTATAAGTTCTAATCAGCATGCACAATGCTATTCTTTAAAAAATTACAAAAGACAACAAATATTTGGAAAAAAACATGCTCATACCCACTTTCGTTTTCGCTCCCGTCCGCCATTAGGGCGTATCGCATGAATTCACCTCGCTTAAAGGAGTATCGCACCGCTATACGTTCGACCCCCTGTATAGTGTCATTTTGTTATATCTATGCATTAAAAGCCTTTTAGTATATTATATTTTACATATCATTAGATTTCAATATTTTTACAGTATGTTTCCTAAATAAAATATTTGTAAATGATCAATGTATTAAGTGTTGGTTTTTTTTTCTTGTGCACCCTTTTCCTTTTTATAGTAGGGCAATGCAAAAGTCACTATTGCTTCATTGACAGTAAATTGGGGATGCAAAGTTATGATACTTTAAATCAGTATGATACATATATCAACTTAATACATATGTTTTTTTGGCATACAATTATTTATAAAAAATATACTCTTCTTTGCCTAAAAATTTATGGATCTTTCCTGTATTTTGCAGTGGAAATTTTAGCCTTACCTTTTCTGTTCTTTGCTGGATCACTTGCTCACAAACTCAACACTGTATTTTTTGTGTAAACCAGTGATTGTACTACTTAAGTGCAGCCAATTTGCATAAAATTGTAAACACTGAAAAGGTCCATTTTCTCAAAATAACATCATATTTACAGGACTAGGTTAACAATACTGAATAGCAGAAAAAGGAATCATCGAGGTTGTCTTGAACCTTTAAGCCAATGCCATTATCTTCATATAAGTACTTTGCCAGTTTTGTATAGATACCCTATCTAATTCATGCTCTCAATAAATAATGGAATGTTATTATTGTGGCTTGCTATCCGAGGTTTTCAATAAAATACCCGTTATAGTTATTGCACGCAGTAAAGAAATGGGAATACATTTGAATCTTGCAGGGCTTTTTCTGTATGTATTCATTACACAAGTACAAATTTATTATATATCAACTCTCCTCCAACCTAAATGTGGTGTCGAATATAATGACCATGTGCCCAAATAACTTTGCTTTCTCTCATTGAATGTATATAAACTAACAAACAAGAACTGTCGTTGGAAACAAATGCCCCACAAGCTGGGCCCAGTAGGGGAACCATGACCTTGACTTGCATCAAAGGCTTTGTTACTTTAAAAACAGTATTTCAATAATATAGAAACATAAACAAGTATTTTCTAATTTTCAGTAAGCCCAATTATTTCTAATCGCATTCATGAATGAATGACAAAAATATGACACAACCACCAATGAAGTATTTTGACTTTGTACAACCATCATTTTATAAACTGTCGACCTAGCCTTTGAATGCAACAAGTTTTCCTAATGTGCCACAGAAGTATGCATAGTTATTTCAAAATCCATTCAGGGATGACAGAATTGTTGACTGGATTTAACCATTGATGTATTTTTATGAAAAAGACTTAGTATGACCTTAATCTTTAAGCTACAATCTCATCACAAATAGTTTTAACGAACCTTATCTCTTTAAACAAAGTTATAACAAAATCTGTCACTAAATGACAAAAATGGATGGACATGACTATCAATGCACTGTCATATCATGACTTCTGAGCTAAATTCCGTTCATTACATATCATCTTAATAAGCAGCATATCTATGCATAATTATTTCAAAGTCCACCAATGAATGACAAAAGCTATGCACAAAAGAAGACAACCTACTCACAATCTTATGTATGACTCACATTTAACCTTGACCTTTGAACTGATACTTGACCAATATTCGGGACATATCATTATCATGTCTTACACATCTATGCCAAATTATTTTAAAATCCATCCAGGAATGGCAGAATTGTTGACAACCATCAATTCTCTTGAATGAAAAAATTCATATGACTTTGGAACAGGGCTTCCACTACCTTCCAAAATTTGGAAGTTAGAGACAACAAAATCTCTAAATTTGGAAGTCACACTATATAGAAAAGAAGAATAAGAATGACATTTTGGAAGTCACAAGCCAAATTTAAGGAGTAAATGACTCCCAGACTTCCATTTACGGAAGCCCTGCTTTGGAATACAAGTGTAACCTTGCCCTTTGAGGTAGGGACACAATTCTCGTGCTCCACATGTTGTCATATTTATGCATAACAATTCTTTAATCCATCCATCAATGACAGACATGTTGATTAGACAAGACATCAGTATTCATTTCTTAAACTTCATATCATGACTTGATCTACAAGTGTGACCTTGTACTTTGAGGTAGGGAAATTCTTATGCTCTGCGTGAGGTTATTAAGCCTCACACATTTTTTCATAATTTTAAATCCCTTCATCAGTGACAGAATTGTTGATGGGACACAAACATCAGTGTGTTATTAAAACTAAAATAACAAGAGCTGTCCGTAAGACAGCGCGCTCGACTTTTTTATTGCTTGCCAATAAAAAAAGTTTTTGCAGTAAAAGGCAATACAAGAATCTCTGTATTTTTAAAGTGAACAATGGCCATGAGCATTAAGATATTTAGTGAAGAATTATTTTATTATGACATAATTTATGGTAAAGTGAACAAGTGGATAGGAATGAATTTTTTTAGATTTTTTAAGTTTTTTAGTGCTTGCCTATAATACAAAACATTGACAGTTAAGGGCCATAATTCAAATAAAATCTTTGACAGAATTACCTTCTCCTGGACATGTTTGGGAATCATGATTGTAAACAAGTATTCCAACTTTCAAATTAATATCTCAAACAGTTCAGTCAAAAAGTGGACTGGTACTAAAAACTTAACCAAGATTCTAAGTCGATAAAAGGCCTTAATTTTTAAAACAAATCCTTGACAGAGTTACCTTCTCTTGCGTACAGATGGGGGTAATGATGTGAAATAGCATTAAAAGTTTCAAAGCAATATCTCAAAGGGTTAAGGCAATAAGTGGATTTTACCCATATTCAATGTATTTTCTAAGTCAAAAAGGGGCATAATTCTGTCAAAAACCTTGACAGAGTTATGTCCTCTTGTCTGTTGATGAAGGTCGTGATGGTAAACAAGTATGGTCAGTTTCAAAGCAATACCGCCAATGGTTTTGAAATAAAGTGAGGTGGTACAAAAAACTTAACCAAGCTCAATACACTTTCTAAGTCAAAAAAGGGCCATAATTCTGTCAAAAACCTTGACAGAGTTATGTACTCTTGTCTGTAGATGGAGGTTATGATGGTGAACAAGTATGGTAAGTTTCAAAGCCATACTTGTAATACTTCTGAAATAAAGTGGGGTGGTACGAAAAACTTAACCAAGGTGTGACGCCAACGCCGACGCCGGGGCGAGTAGGATAGCTCCCCTTTTCATAGAAAAGTCGAGCTAAAAAGGAATAAAAATCTTGTTTCTTTATTTTGTGAACACAAGACATAATTGATGCTTATGATGACTTACATAACATTAACATTTTTTGGTATAATTTACTGAAGTGATTTAAACAACAAAAAGATACAACATGATTCAGAAATAATTAATCCATGATCCAAGACAAACATACATTGAAATAACCTTTTTTACAAAAAAATATCAATTAGTTTTTGTACATTCATGATAAATTTATTTCATAAATAAAGAGAAACAATGAATAAAATCAAAACAAAAATTCTGATAATTCAAAGTCAATGAAGGAATTTTCTTATACAGTGAAAAATTCAATTTTGTGCAAAAAAATATACAATGCTCACATAATTCTGTTAAGAGTGTCTTTCACAAATTAATTTCTAACTTTAACTTTGCTATTTACACTTAAATATACCAGTTTAATAGTAATTATAATCTGCCCTAGGAGGCCCTCTTGAAGGATGAGGTGGACCTCCAGGTCCTCTTGGAGGCGCACCTCTCCAAGGGCCTCGTGGTGGACCTTGATTGTCAAAGAAACGAGGTGCGCCAGGTAATGCACCCATTGTAGGTGGGCCTCTTGGTGGCCCTGATTGAATCATCTGTGGAACAGGCCCGGGTGGCGGGCTTGTAAATGATGAACTAGGGATTGTTTGACTTGAAAACATAGGAGGTGGTACACCAGGGGGTGGCTGGTGTATATTTGGAGCAATGCTTCCCACAGGGTACTGCCCCAATGATGGTGGTGGGTAGTTCATGTTTGGCATTGTTGCTCCAGCTACCGGATGAGTCTGATAAGTCTGTTGTTTTTTAGTATAGTCATCATCTTGTATAGGTACACTTATAAGTGTCTTAATTCTGGAGCCCACTACTGGTATAGCTGACGTATAATTATCAGCTGTCGATGAAATGGTCGCTTGAGACAGCATTGGTTGTGAAGATGGTAAACTCTGCATTATTGACCCAGCATGTGAATACATTTGCTGGGAAGGAAGTCCAGAAGCTAATTGTGGTTGGTGTGATGTAGAAATAGGCAAACTGTGCTGAACACCTCCAACCTGCCCTTGTAAGTATAAGCCTTCCTGTGACGCTCGTCCAGCAACAGCTGTTGCAGCGGCTACCTGACGTATTGCTGACGTAAACTGCTCTAAGAATGCCTGCTGCTGAGCAGGCTGCGAGGGCGATGGGTTAACTGACACCTTTGGTGCTGTTAGTACTGCACCAGCTTTCTGGGCAGCAAGAGATAAGTTGGCATCTTTGATCTCGTGTTTCAAATGTCTATGACCAATATGTGCATTGAGATCACGCTGTGACAGATACGTTCTTCTACAGCCATTAGAACCATGTTTCGAGCCTCCATATGTACAAAGAAATACTGTACCAAGTGCAGACTGCTCTATCCTTTGTACAGGATCCCCACACCTGCAATAAATTGTTATCTTTATTAATACTATGCAGAAATATTACCAAGTAAAACACAATGTGCAGGTAGAATGCAAAGCCCTTATCAATTTTTGGTTACAAATTTACAAGGGATGTTAAATTTCAACAGTTACAAAGAGATAAAAGCAAATCAAACATAAATCGACATAAAAATCATATATATGTTTTACTTACAAGTAAAACTTTACCAGACTACTGCTGTAGCATCTACTAAAAATTATATGCTAATTGTATCAGCATATTTCATTACATGATTTTCAGAAGTATTTCAAAGAGTCATTATGCACATTTTCTTTTTGGCTGTCAAATTGAGCAGAACTGGCTATATATTTAACAAAGATTAACTGTTATAATGTCCATTGACCAATAATTGATAATGAAAAGTTTTAGGATAAAATATAACGACTGCCTTGAACATAAAAAGACTGCCTCACTCATTTGATAAAATGATCGTTAATGATACATTAGGAATGATATAGGGATTTTTCTGCGAGTCACATGGTTATTAATTATGTACTACTGACTACACATCTGTAAAACTGAAAACAATTATGACAAAATCGTAAGTTATTTTGACTTGGAACTTTATACCTACTATTTTGATGGGCATGTCACTTTAACCATAATTTTTCTTTATATTATTAAGATATTAAGTAATCAACTACACTGTTATCAAGAAGATGGGGACTGACAGAAAATAATTAACTTCAAGACTTACTGGTTTACATTCTTAAGTGTTGAATGTATGGTACATGCCTTGCCTTAAATTCGAAACATCAAAGAGAAAAATAAAATACAAAACCTATAACCAGTAGAGAAATTGATAGCGAATAGCATGGATCCTGATCTGACTGCACGGATGCGCAGGCTGGTCTGGATCCATGCTGGTCGCAAACCCATTATGTTGGTTTTGTCATGGCGTGGCTCAATTCATTTTCATTTTATTTCAATTTTATTTTCTTTGTGGTTCAAATGAGTAAAAAGGGGCCTACATTCATACTAACATATGATGTTAATATAGCCCCTTGCATTCATAGCATTTCAAAACATTTAACAAAACATCTTAAGAGGAGCTCAAATGAGGTGTAAATACATTAGATTTTAAGAATATAACATTTCAAATTGTCACTTGAAAAGAAAAAGTATGAACAAATAATAAAATGGTATCCTAAGTACTGATTTCAGCTTATTTTGACACAAAAGAAATTATTCTTGAAAAAGTGCGAGACCAAATGATGAAATTTTGCACACAAGTTTTAGGTCCAGACCTTCAGCAAATGGTATACAATTCTCAAAAATATATTTCAAATTCCTTCATGTGAAAATACCTCTGTTGAGTCCCTTTAACAAAATGATACAGTGCTACTAAGTCCTCTTTAAAGAAATGGCAGCAAATGCGTGAAAAATATCAACATTTGAGAACAACAATTACCTTGTACAGGTTTTCTCTGTCTTCTTGGCACATGTAAAACAGAACACATGCTTACACTGTATCTGTAATGGTTAACATATATTTACAATGTATACAGTATGCATACTATTTAGTACTATCATGTATAACATGCTTTCCAGTAGGCAGTGGAATTTCAAAGTAAGTATTCAAACAATATTTATGTTCTGTTATAAATGAATGGAAATTTCATTAGAAAGAGAAGCCTCCAATAGTAAAATGTATGTAATTAACGCAGAAGCGCATAATTATTTCACACAACATGTAAACAAGGGGCCATGAAAGCCCTGGACTGCTCATCTGAGATTCAATGACAGCAAAGGTCGAAATTCTTCGACAGAGAAGTAGTGAGATCATATTGAGCGGTGTCATTTTTTGTACACAAGTGCATGATTTATTACACACTTGTTGGAAAATAAATACTTTGACTTCAATACAAAGTACTAAATCACTGTTGGTGTACTGATTGCTTAAAAGAAACAGCAGCAGAAGACTGTTCAGGAAATGAGGCATTACGTTTTGTTAACTGTAACAGAGCAAAATAAAAAGCTTTTGAAAAATAAAAATTGAAGCATATCTTGGAAACATTATGCCTTTATTAATAACTCTAAGGGTTCATTGTTGTAACATAATCATTGTAAAGTATTTGATGAAAACATTTCCCAATGAAGCCACCTGATAACAAGAAATTTTCACCAAATCAATAATCAGAATATTTCAGAATACATTATAAATTAATTTAAAAACATATCTAGTTCAAATGTCTAATATTTATGATACATGTCTTCAATAAGAAAATAATGCACAGACTCACCATTCTACCATAGATAAGGATTGGTAGAGAGCAGATTTCACAGCAATGGATCAGAGGGTCAACCACCTTCTCTCCAAGCAAGTTCACCTACGAATATAAGCAAGTATTATAGATTTATTGTGTGTGATTTTAATCGCATGACATTACTTGCTTTTAATGTTATCAGTCAAAAAATTTAAGATTTTGAATTTACTGGCCCGAATTCCAGTTTTGAATTTATTCTAAGTTATATATTTAACTAAATTTCTTAAAATTTTCACTGGCCGGAACTAATTTTCACTGGCCATGGGCCACCGGGCCAGTGCTAAATTCGATGACTGTGTTATAGATCTACTCATTGCATATTTCTTTAACACATGTCAAGTATACTGTTGTCGTAACTCATAAACCATAAATAGCTTTCACTTGGTGAAGCCATTTTAAAAAATAGCTTTCATGATTTTTTTATCATTTTTTACTTTTGTATTCATTAGCCTACTCATTCTACATTTGACTCTCTGTAAGTTTCAATCTTTCTTCAGGTGAAATGATATGCATATAGAGCTGTCATCAATAGTAACAATATTGATGTGTTGTCAATAGTTTTATCAATAATCGATACACATTTTAAAAAAATCGATAAGTTTGACTAATCAATTAAAGTCTAGAAATTATAAAAATTCAAAATGGAGTGTGTCCACTGGTGTTTTATCACACTATGGACAGACAGTGTGGTGGACCAACAGACAAGGGCAAAGAATAACGCCCTCCACAGTCCACTAAGTAGTGGGGGCATAAAAAAAATACACACGTAAATAATGAAAATTTTCTGTGTACACTATTGTCATCATTTCAGCTTCAATGTTCAATTCAATATTCAGTGTAAAATTTTGTGATTTAAAAGGATTTATGCCAAATAAATTGAAATAAAAGTTCTTATTTTATTATATCAATCTGAGTTTCTGCCTTACCTTGTGGTCCCATCTTAACTTCTTATTGTGGTGAAGGGGTTCACCAGGTTCCATGGTCTTAAATATTGGTGTATCTAACACCTCATCCTCTGAAAAAATTCAAACATGAAATCGGTCATACTAGAGACACAGAGAACTCTATTTTATACATGTTTTGTAAACTATAAAAGTATAATACAAATTTGACATTTTACCAAAAATTCTAAAATTGATTGTCATTATTTCTTTTTCTAAGTTTCAGTCTTATGTCATTTAAACTTACAGGCTTAGCATTAGGTAAATTAAAGACCATATGTTACCGAATAATAACAAAAGAAAACAAGAGGGCCATGATGGCCCTAGATCGCTCACCTGACCCATCAAACTCATCCGAACAATTACCTAGACAAGCATTCTGACCAAGTTTCATGACAGGTGAGTCAAAAATGTGACCACTACAGTGTTAACAAGGATTATCCATATTTGAGCAGTGTGACCTAGTTTTTTACCCAGGTGACCCATATTCAAACTTTACCTAGAAATCAAAACAAACTTTCAGACCAATTTCCAGGATACTTGGATCAAAACAGTAGCCACTAGAGTGTTAACAAGATTTTTCTATTTTTAGCTCCTGTGACCTTGTTTTTCATCCAAGATGACTCATGTTCAAACTAATCCGAGCAATTACCTAGACAAGTTTCCTGACCAAGTTTGATGACAATTGAGTCAAAATTGTGACCACTAGAGTGTTAACAAGATTTTTCTATTTTTAGCTCCTATGACCTTGTTTTTATCCGAGATGACCCATGTTCGAGCTCATCCAAGCTATCACCTAGACAAGCATTCTGACAAAGTTTGATGATGATTGAGGCAAAAATGTGACTGCTAGAGTGTTAACAAGGTTTTTCTATTTTTAGCTCCGGTGACCTAGTTTTTCATCCGAGATGACCCATGTTCGAACTCATCCCAGCTATCACCTAGACAAGCATCCTGACCAAGTTTGATGATGATTGAGGCAAAAATGTGACCACAAGGTTTTTCTATTTTTAGCTCCGGTGACCTTGTTTTTCATCCGAGATGACCCATGTTCGAACTCATCCAAGCTATCACCTATACAAGCATCCTGACAAAGTTTGATGATGATTGAGGCAAAAAAGTGACCACTAGAGTGTTAACAAGATTTTTCTATTTTTAGCTCCGGTGACCTAGTTTTTCATCCGAGATGACCCATGTTCGAACTCATCCAAGCTATCACCTAGACAAGCATCCTGACAAAGTTTGATGATGATTGAGGCAAAAATGTGACTGCTAGAGTGTTAACAAGGTTTTTCTATTTTTAGCTCCGGTGACCTAGTTTTTCATCCGAGATGACCCATGTTCGAACTCATCCAAGCTATCACCTAGACAAGCATCCTGACCAAGTTTGATGATGATTGAGGCAAAAATGTGACCACAAGGTTTTTCTATTTTTAGCTCCGGTGACCTTGTTTTTCATCCGAGATGACCCATGTTCGAACTCATCCAAGCTATCACCTAGACAAGCATCCTGACAAAGTTTGATGATGATTGAGGCAAAAAAGTGACCACTAGAGTGTTAACAAGATTTTTCTATTTTTAGCTCCGGTGACCTAGTTTTTCATCCGAGATGACCCATGTTCGAACTCATCCAAGCTATCACCTAGACAAGCATCCTGACAAAGTTTGATGATGATTAAGGCAAAAATGTGACTGCTAGAGTGTTAACAAGGTTTTTTTATTTTTAGCTCCGGTGACCTAGTTTTTCATCCGAGATGACCCATGTTCGAACTCATCCAAGCTATCACCTAGACAAGCATCCTGACCAAGTTTGATGATGATTGAGGCAAAAATGTGACCTCTAGAGTGTTAACAAGGTTTTTCTATTTTTAGCTCTTGTGACCTAGTTTTTCATCCGAGAACTCATCCGAGCTATCAACTAGATAAGCATCCTGACCAAGTTTGATGATGATTTTGGCAAAAATGCGACCGCTATAGTGTTAACAACTAAATGTGAACGGACGACGGCCAATCATCGATCCTAAAAGCTCACCCTGAGCATGCTCAGGTGAGCTAAAAATGCAAAAAAGAAGAAACATTGAACTTTAAATGCTAAAACAAGAGCTGTCGGTAGAACATCATGCTTCACTATTCTCAGTACTTGTCAGATAGTCAAACAAGAGCCTGGATAATGTAAAATTTTCTAAGTTCAAAAGGGCCATAATTCTGATTGACCTTTGACAGTGACCTCCTATTATGCTCTTTAATAAGTGTGTGAACTTTTAACCAATCCACTTCAGTAGTTTTGGTGATACCAACTTGCAAGCAAAAACTTAACCAAAGAATGACAGTATGAATGAGTACTAACTTAAATAGTTGTGCTAATGAATAAACATTTTTGTTTAATCACTTTTTTTCCAGAGTACCTGCAGCTGACTGATGATCACTATCTTCTTTCTTCACTGCTTTTGATGACTTTCTTGGTCGACCTCGGCCTGATGATGACGCCGATTTCTCTGTCTTTAACTTGAGTGTGATATTCTTCCTTGCTGGTCTTGGACTAGATGAGTGGGAGTTTTCAGATTCAAGTTCAATGTCTGCAGTAGAGGGAAACAAAAACTACACATTAATCAAAGTTAATTTTAGACCATTTAAAATTATTTTGAACTACAGTCGAACTTCGTTCGCTCGAACTCGGAGGGCCTGTGCAAATTTGTTCGAGAGATCGGTAGTTCGAGCCAACCGAGGTTGACCTATTATTACGGTGATCATAGGCCTAAAGGTTTTCTAACTTACATCATTCGAATGATAAATAAGTCAATATAATTGTTTGTTAGTACATCCGTTCGTCGAATATGTCATATTCAGAATTATTATCCCAGTGTTTTCAATTAAGTATTAACGGTACACTGTGTTAATCTATATCCATGTATATTGTAATTGGTTGAGTTCGATCGGGCAATCAGACCAAACTTGTTGAACAATGTTAAAAATATATATTTACAAATGTATATGTTTATTATGGGATGAATTTAATTTAAAAAAAAAAATGAATTAATAAAATTAAAAAAAAAACAACGTTTTACAGCAGCATCTATTTGTAGTCATTTACTAAAATAAACACACATACAAATATAAATAGACAACACTGTTACAATTCACGTTACATGAACCACGGTTGTAATTAAAGCCGTCCGGGTAAACGTCATTCTTTATTGACTTCTGCATATTTCACTTATTATTTCTTTTTATCGTTACCATAAACGGCAAATTAACAATATTATCATAACAAACAAATCGGTTACAACACCTCTTTTTTGTATCAATTAACCTTAATTTTCTTTGTCACGATCACGAGGTTTTAAAAACATGTGTCGCCGACTGTCATTTATTAAGGACATGTCGACTTGTCTTTTTGTGTTCGACCGAAAAGGTGTGATTTTCACTATATTTCTGCCGAAGGGACCAGAGATCAAGTTCGAGAGTTCGAGCGATCGGTGTTCGAGCGATCCGAGGTAGAACAATATATATTATATAGGAATTTTGCCGGGACTAGGCGATGAGTTCGAGCGAAGGGAGGTATTCGAGCGATCCGAGTTTGAGCGAACAAAGTTTAACTGTATATGGAACTGAATAAGAATCAGACAGAAGATAATTTTACATAAAATTCTAGAATGGGATAGTTTTGTGTGTTTTTTTTTTTAGTTGGGTATTAAGTTGCACCAAAATTATGTAAAGGTCATATGGTGACTATTGAATTTAACTGTAGAAGACCTCAGGTGCCCCTTGGATCTGTGCGTTATTTCAGGCACAAACAGGCACCCGAGTAGAACCGCAAATATTCTGCATGCTAGTAAGATAGCTTCATCAAATGAAAGAATCTAAAGTCCCTGGCAGGATTCAAACTCACAACAGTGAGGGGCAAGTGGTTTGAAGTAACCAATCTTAACCACTTTACATGGTTTGGCTGCAGTTGAAACTTGCATACATTTAAAGTAAATTGGTCTTCTTTACATTTGCTCATGAGCCACTTCAATTTAGTGTTTGTGTAGTTTTTATCATAAGTTGGGTAAAACAAGCATTAAATTCATGATTTCAATCATTGTAGGGGCAGACTTCCTGAAAGTTTGAAAAAAGTGTTAAACATTCAGTCTGACAAACCCTTGAACCCTGTCTTGCACAGACAGACAGATTTGTATCCTTTTTTGTGAATACCAGATATTTCATGACCTTTGACAGTTTTTATAACATTTGTACATCTAGTAATAGTATTATTTCTTAATATTTTGTGTTTTTCAACACTTTTACTGGCAATGCACAGGAGGAACAGTGCATTTCGTTTTATACATTGTCATAAAATAAGCCATTCTCATATTTTCTTTCATTTGTTGTTTAATTTTCTATCAAGCCTGGTTTTTACAATCGTTTTTTCCTTTTTGCTTCTTTTTGATAGGGTTAATTTTCTTTTTACCACTGCAGTGTGCCTTTGTAATACTTTAAACACGCCATGTTGACTGTGTGCTGTAAACATCTATTGTATGGTTATCAGCCATTGGTTAATTTCAAGATATAAGCCAATGTACATAATTTTAACATAACACAATGTTCAAGGAAAAGTAAACTCGCTAGCAACAACTGAGGAATATTTGTCAGTATTAGCGAGCTCAACGAGCTGGCCCGAAGGGCCTGCTCGCAAAGCGAGCTTTACGGTAACGCGAGTACCTGCTAAGTGATGGTTTTGAAAACTTTCGTCCGAAGTACGGAATTGGACACATCGCAACTTTTCGAATTTAAAGATAATGATAAAAATTGAGGAATTCTGACTGAAAACGGATGTGTAGACTGGTCACCCGGGCATGTCTACTATGGGAACCATAATTGGACAGGGAACCAGAACGGAAGCTGTGTATAAAACAAGAGCTGTCGGTAGGACAGCAACGCTTGACTATTCTTAGTGCTTGATAGTAAAAAAAATGCTTGATACAGTTACCTCCTCCTGTTTACAGGTTGGGGTCATGATGGTGAACAAGTGTGCAAAGTTTCAAAGCCATATGTCAATGGACTTTGAAAATATTTGAACTATAACAAAAACTTTAACGTAAATTCTAAGTCGAAAAAGGGGCTTAATTCTGTCAAAATGCTTGATAGAGTTACCTCCTACTGTTTACAGATTGGGGTCATGATGTTGAACAAGTGTGCAAAGTTTCAAAGCCATATGTCAATGGACTTTGAAAATATTTGAACTATTACAAAAACTTTAACGTAAATTCTAAGTCGAAAAAGGGGCATAATTCTGTCAAAATGCTTGATAGAGTTACCTCCTCCTGTCTACAGGTTGGGGTCATGATGGTGAACAAGTGTGCAAAGTTTCAAAGCCATATGTCAATGGACTTTGAAAATATTTGAACTATTACAAAAACTTTAACATAAGTGGTTACGCCGACGCCGACGCTCGGGTGACTGCAATAGCTCTACTTATTCTTATCGAATAGTCGAGCTAAAAACGAATGACAGTTTTAAAACGGAAAATGTAAAATGAAAATTGAAGGCGCCATTTTGTTTGAAAAATCTGATAAATAAAAACATTTTTTGTCGAATTTTGTTGTGAAAACTATCTAGAATGAAAGAAAATGGTCTAACTAAGAAAATGAATCAGAACACCAATATCTTTTATTCAGTCGTTAACGCTGTATAGACGTTTAAAGTATTGTTTACGTGACTTAACAATAAGGCTCCCACGTTTACAAGTTTTTATAAACGTTTACACGATTGCTAAGAACCGAAAGGACACCGTTTAAACGGTGGGTCTTCTATGTGCTATACTTCACCATGTATTCAAGTCGCAAAATGATGACTTACTTTCTATTTTTAACACAAGTACAAATATTAATGTTTAGGGCTCATCACGATTGAGTCGGCACACATTTTCTGCATTGTATCCTAATTTCGCTATTTTGAAAGATCAAAGGAAAATCAACTTTACCAAAAATGTATTGTGTCACGAGCAATTATTGCACGGTAATGCTGTGTGGAGGGTTGTAAATACCTATTTTCCGTATTTTACTTTGGAATAAACCATTTACAATCGATTACAGGCAATGATTTAGATATTTTGTAAGACAATGTGGTCATTTCGATTAAACGGTAAAATTTATCGTAAACGTTTACAACTGAAAATCGAAACGAATCCGTTTAAACGTGTAGCCGTGAGGGCCTTACTTAACAATGTAGCGCCAAACAGTGCTAAACAATCAAATCAAGTACGCTATTTTAATGTCATAAACGTTTTAAATTTAACATTTATTTCACTTTTAATAATCTTTATTTCGCTTTAAAAATTATAGAGTGAAATAAAATAAACAAACAAAGTTTTATCAACGTTTCTTAAACTCGATATTCATTTAATGACAGGGGCAGAGTCATATTTAACACAGTGCGTGTGACGTCACACGCACTCGTCACTGCATTTGATAAAAAAATGAGTGATTACTTCATACTATTTCACGTTAAAAGTACATCGAGCTCGCTTTGAGGATTTGTCTTTTTCATATAAGTCTCCCTTGCCCCTGAAAAACCCGTCATTCAGACCAGTTTTAGCTTAAAAGTTGTCATACATGTGAAAATATGTTGGTCGTGTCTGTTGGTCAATTATTTCTCATGAAGTCTTTGGGGTGAACTTGTGAAGTGTCTTGTTCCCCTGTGGACGGACCTCAAACATCTAAATTAGTTTGTAAAAAAATCATACTAAGCTTACTAGTTGGTCAACGATATCAGTGCTTTCTGATTTGATCACACAAGGTAAATAAATTAAAGCATCATATTTTACAAGCTCTGATTCACTAAAACGTCTTTACTTTTACTTTATCCAGCGTAGGGTCGCGAGATCAGAAATCTCTTATAACCCCCTCGAGGTCTGACACCCAATGATTATTATCCGGTATAACAGTATATAATTTGTTTTTCATAACCTTATCGAGTCTGTTTTTTAGCGAATTCAGCGTTGGTGAACATACTACTATGTCTGTTTGACATTGTAGGGTACATATTTACAACAACAAAAAAACGCTTATTATGTTCTGCAGCTATCGTCAATTCAATAGGTACTCATTACTATATTAAATACCTTGGGAGTTTTAGTACTCATTCTTTTTCAATGTACTTTCTGTTTACACATGATCGCGAAAATATATGACGAAATCATTTAAGGGTGTGACTAGTGTTTCTATCTTGATTGCTTTGTTCATACTGTGTTAAACAATGAGATAATATATTATTCAACATTATACAGTGGTAATTTGGATCTTTTACGAAACAGGGGATTACAGAAACATAAAAATGACAAGATAATGATTCACGGCACCTGCACTGGCATCCATGTTGAAATGGAAATGAGGCTAAATGTAAAATCGATATTGATTGGTGTATATTTTGTAACGAGAGTTTCGATTGGTTCATATTGACACTGTCAACCTTGATATTTGATGAATCAATGAGAAAAAAATCAAGAAAATAGATCTCAATCTCAAAGTTTGAAACAAAAAAAAAACTAAAACAATTGTAAGTTTTAAAGATAGAGCAAAGAGTTCGTAAGAGGAGGCACACAGAAAGTGTGCCTTCAGTACAAGACCTGTTGCCAAGTGACGAAAAAATGCCTTCTCTGCCAGGATCCATCACAGAAAATCCTGTAGACATGGATTCTAAAAAGGACGATCCAGCTCAACAATCTAAAAGAAAGAAAGAATTGAACAACAGTAGGGAGAATCAACAAGGTTTCTTTTATTCTGCTAAAATTTCACTAGCCTACTTGTAATGTTAATGTAATTCAGAAATAATAACAGCAGATCCATATGAATGATAAGATTACTGAAGATCTCCAACCTCTTTTTTAACCAGGAAAATATATATTATATTTCAATTTTATATAAATGCTTAGACTGTACATTTTCAGAGGATGTGCTTGTGTGATACTAAATGAAATATACTGTATATGCTTCTGCATTAGAACTAGCCCCAGAGACATAGATAACAGAGATAAGCAGCTCCTATATACTCCATTGAAATATCACTCATGCCTATAAAAAAGTGTAAAATTAGGCATTTTGTAGCAAATAAAACTTAATGGGTGTATATATGATCCTTTAATATTATATACCATTTGAAAGGTAAATCTTTCATCTATGGCTGCATGTTAAAATATTGGTAACTTTCTATGCCTTTCAATTAGAAAAACATGGCAGAACATACCCACTGAGCCAGTTTTTTGTCATATGAATAGTTTTGTAACAAAAAATATTAAGTAGTTCTCTTTAAAAAAATGATACAACATTTATTTAAATGGGAACTGTAAATATATTTACCTGCAGCCATAGACAAATGCATAAGCTTTCAGAAAATGTATTATTTTACTGATTTTGATATCTGGTTAATAAGTTTTACTTGCTACAAGTTTTAAGTTTAGTAGGCACGCGTGATATTTTAACTGGCTAGGAAGTAGCCTATCTCTGTTATCTATGTCTCTGCTAGCCCCAAAAATTTGAACAAATTTAGGGCTTTTTATTATATAGAAAATGGTCGCCCTTCTGATGTCTGTATTATGTATAATATCAGTTTGTAAAGTCAATCAGTCTTGGGGTCAAACTATTAAGACTAAATTAAAACAGTCTAGAGGGGCGTTCATGGCTGAGTGGTTAGTTTAAACATATTTATTTAAGCTCAATTGGGAAACAAGTCCTTGCAACTTATATTAATCACTTTCTAGTTCGCTTCCTTGAACCAACTAAGTTGTTATTGATTTCAAAAAACTTGCCTTTCACCACTGCGGGCTCAGTTTGCACCAGCATCTTCGAATCCTTTCATGTGAGAAAGCTATCCAGCTAGCTTACGGAGTGTTGGTGGTTCCACTCAGGTGCCCGTTTGTACCTGAAGTAATGCACAAATGGTTACCTGAGGTATTTCTCAACAGGTATTCCTCCACCAGTATGTGTCGGTGCAACATGAAACCCAACTGAAAAAAAAGAAAAGTCTCCCTTTTGGTCTATACAATTACCTATGATGATGGCTATCTATCTATCTTTCTTCCGTTAATGTCGAACCCCTAGCGGGGACGTAGACATGTCGCAAGAAAGGTAAAAAGAGTTGTTTAAAAGAGCATAAAAGAATATTTGAAAATTTTAAAAACAGGGACTGGAAGACTAGGGTGAGAAGGGATAACCTAGAATCTAAAGGTCTTCAGTTAAAGTGACCATTTTCGATTTGATCTATTTGAGTTTTGGTGTGGGGAGACCATACTTCATAACCATATTCAAGCTTGGGTCTGACGGTCTGACTAACGTTTGGTAAGCGATGGACTTATTGGATTGGGATTTAACCTTTATGTTTCTGCGAAGGAATCCTAGGGTTTGGTTTGCTTTCTTGGATGTCCTGTCTAAATGGGCATCCCACATGAGGTTTTCTGATATATCCACGCCTAGGTATTTAGCTGAAGTAACCGATTCTAATTGGACTCCATGGGTGTAGTATTGTGATGGAATAGGATGTTTCCTTTTTGCGACATGGATAACTTGACACTTGGAGGAGTTAAATTCCATATCCCACTCCAACTACTGATTTAGGTAATATTGGAGGGTGACTGATTAAGTTGCAGACGTCAGAGCAATGTATATTGCAGTATCGTCTGCAAACAAGCGGACTTGGGAATTTATGTTATGTGGGAGGTCATTTATATAGGAGAGAAACAGGAAAGGTCCTAGAACAGAGCCTTTGGGGACACCTGAGAATACTGGGATGGGATTTGAGCAGCTGCCATTCAGCACAACAGACTGCTGCCAGACGGTTACCAAGAAAACTTTGACCCATTTTAAAGGTTGACCTCTGGTTCCATAGTCATGTATTTTCAGCAGTATTTTCTCATGGCTGACCTTGTCAAAAGCATTACTGAAATCTAAAAGAATCAGATCTACTTGTTTTTTCTCATATACTGAGGTGACCAGGTCATTTACCAACATTATAAGTTGCATAACACATGACCTTTTCCCCCTGAAACCATGTTGGAGAGGTGGTAGAGGATATTATGGTTGGTGAAGTTCTTAACAATGGAGGAGGAAACTATGTGTTCACTAACTTTACACAGAACAAATTACCAATTTATTACCCAAGCTTTTGTGCACCCACTTCAGGGAGGCATTTAGATTTTTCCTTGTTGGCCAGTCCCTCTGTTCTCATTTTGTGTCACATGAAGCTCAAAAGCATTTGACCTAGAGTCATGAAACTTTACAGGAATGTTGCTTAGCATGTGAAGTTGTACACCTGGCTATTTTCAGGTGGATTTTTTTAGTATTAGTAGAGTTATTGCCCTTGACTTAGAAAAAATTTGCAATTTTCAACTTGCGTAGCATGTAGCTCAAAATGTATTTGACCTAAAGTCATGAAACTATACAGGAATGATGCTCAGCATGTGAAGTTGTCCACCTTGGGTTTCACTTGTGGATTTATTCAGTTTTGTCAGAGTTATTGCCCTTGATTTAATAAAAATTTCCAATATTGAACTTGTGTTGCACATAACTCAAAAAGTATTTTACCTGTACTCATGTTGGCCTGAAAGTTTTACAAGAATGTTGGTCAGCATGTGTACTTATCCACCTTAGGGTTTGCTTGTGAATTTATTCAGTATTTGTAAAGTTCTTGCCCATTACATTCTTGCTCTTTAAGATTTTTAGTTTTCAACTTGAGGCACATGTAGTCCAAATAATATTTGATTTAGTGTCATAAGATTGACAAAACAGTGGAGTTATGGGTCATGGATCCTGATCAGACTGCATGTATGCGCAGGCTGGTCTGGACCCATGCTGGTCACATAGGCATTATGTTGGTTTTGTCATGGCGGGGCTCAAATATGTATTATGATATCATTGTTGTTTATTATATTTTTAGCTCCCAAATATGATTGGTCTCAGACAGAAGATAGTGTTACTATGGTATTGAAGATAGAAAACATAACAAATGAGCTTTTAAGAGACAGTGATGTTACATTTGCAGATAGTGATGTGACAGTTAAACTTCCAGGTAGGCAAAGTTGGACATGTACACTTACTACATTCCATTTATAGATTTTTTTTTCTAAAATACCCATATAAGGCAGTTTCTCAAAGCACTTTTTCCTGATTTCCTTAGCTTTGTTACAAAAGAACTGAAAAGAGAAGAGACGTTCAAATAAACTTTGGTCACAATCAGGGTTGGCAAAAATCTTATCTTGACGTCCATTTTATATGAAGCATAATTTCGTCATAAAGAGAATTCTGAGAAAATTTGGCTTGTCCATACTGGATGTTGGACATCCTGGGCAATATGGACAATTGATTTTGCCGCCCCTGACCAAGGGACAAAAGTAGATGATCTCAATTTGAAGCTACAGTAGAATGACATGTATTGTATTTAGCCATGATAAAGTTATGATAGTTTATAATTATTGAAATCATTCATTTTGTTGTTTGTAGATGGTAGAAAATGGACATGGCAGTTGTATGGTGAAATATTTCGTGAGGACAGCCGTGTTAAAGTTAAAAAACGAAAAATGAGTCTACATATGAAGAAAAAGAAGTCAGTCACATGGTCAAATCTTGAAAGTCTAGATGTATGTTTAACATTGAAAGTAATTGTTTATATTTTTTCCCATTTCCTTGAAAACATAAAATATTAATGTTATAATCATGTTATTTTTTTCTTAGATTGAAGTGTAATTTATATGGTTTAATTTTTATCAGATATTTTTAGATTACTGCAGCACATCATGTTCAAAGTGAACTTTTGTGATCACTTTGTGTCCCACATCAGTTGCCTGTCATGCTTAATGAACAATTTTACTTAAACAGCATCTCTTCTAAATCTCTTAAGTAATAGTTATGAAACTTTTAGCAGGAGACTCCCTCTTTCTGCAACAATATTTTCTTAAGATTTTTCTTAAAATTAGGGGTATTTTCACAAATTAAAGAAATCTCCTTATCTTTTATGCCAGAACTTATTCTTTGTTTATTGGAAATTCTAAAATCTCCCTCTTTTTGAAGAAAAATCTCCAACTTGATCATCAAAAAAAGTTCACATGTATGCATGTATACAGGAATGATCTTTGGACAGGCCTATATAAACAATGCTGAAATGGTTCCGGTCTGAAAATATGTTGGTTGCTAGAGCTAAAAACAGAAGTAGAAACTAAAGATTAAAAAAAAAATTATTTTTCAGCAACCCACAGTAGAAGAACCTCTGCCATCTCCAACAGAGAGCCTAGAACCAGCTTCATCACCAAGTGTGATGTCACAATATTCTGATTCCCAGCTTCCTGCTTCAAGCATTGCTGGTACCAATCTTTCAGAGGAACCAAATGTAACAACAGATGACACAAGAAGTGATGATGTAGAAACAGAAAACAGCGATTGTCCGAAAAAAGAAGAAGGTTTTTTACTATTTGTTAAATGATAATAATAATTGTTATATTCCTATTATTATTTAGAAGAGGGCATAAAGATTTACCCTTGTCAATTTATCCTGCTGTCCCTGTTGTAGACTGGCAAAACAGTGTAATGTGGGGGCTTGCATGTCCTATGAACAAAATTCTGGCTTGTGATGTTGTAAGCATGGTAAGGACCCTGAGTCTAATCATATTTATTATGCTCCCCGAAAAAATTTCGGGGGAGCATATAGTCGCCGCCTTGTCCGTCAGTCTTTCCGTCCGTCCGTCCCCTTTTCTTGTCCGGGACATAACTTTGAAACAACAAGAGGTATCAACATGAAACTTTGTAGGTAGATAGATCTCATTAAGTAGGTGTGCAGTGCACAAGAACCGTAACTCTGCCTTGTCTAATTTTTGAATTATCCGCCTTTGTTTATTTTACACTTTGAACTTTGTCCGGGACATAACTCTAAAAGTATAAGAGGTATCAACATGAAACTTTGTAGGTAGATAGATCTCATTGAGTAGGTGTGCAGTGAACAAGAACCTTAACTCTGCCTTGCCTAATTTTTGAATTATCCCCCTTTGTTTATTTTTACACTTTGAACTTTGTCCGGGACATATTTCTTAATGTATAAGAGATATCAACATGAAACTTTGTAGGTAGATAGATCTCATTGAGTAAGTTTGCAGTGCACAAGAACTGTAACACTGTCTTGCCTACTTTTGGAGTTATTGCCCTTTGTTCATTTTGACACTTTGAACTTTGTCTGGGACATAACTCTAAAATTATAAGAGATATTAACATGAAACTTTGTAGATAGATAGGTCTCATTGGGTGGAAGTGCAGTGCTTAAGAATCATTACTCTGCCTTGCCTTATTTTGAAGTTATTGCCCTTTGTTTATTTTTACTTTTTGACTTTTGTCCTGGACATTACTCTTAAACTATTAGAGATATCAACATGAAACTTTGTAGGTAGCTAGATATAATTGGATAGAACTGCAACAATTCAAGAACCTAAACAAAGCTTGGTCTAATTTTGGAGTTATTGCCCTTTGTTCATTTTTTTTATACTTTCCTGTGTCCAGAACCTTCTCGGGGAGCATCACCCGGTTCAACCGGTTCTTGTTATTATTTGGATCCTGAATAAGATAATGAATAAATGATTAAGTAAATATATGCATTTATTACGTTATTAATTCAAAGAAAAATGCATTTTGCTTATTGCAAGCACATCTTATAGGAAAGGGTTTTTGTGATTTAAAAAAAGGATGATAATTATGTGTCTGTGATATACTGTATATCAGGTTTTTTTGTGAGTGTCTAATTTTTGACAAATGGGCCATAAAAAAGCATTAAATAGAAATTATAGCTTACTATGTGTTGATATTTTCTATATTTTACAGAGCCAGTGGTTGAGCTACAGTTAATAAAACATGATTTCATAGAAAAGGTGGGACACTTACAATATAATTATACTGACATTGCTATCTGACCATAAAGAGAACAAGAATTTCTTATTAAGTGTATTAGATTAGATTTTGATGGGTTAAAGTAAAATTTACTAGCTTGAACTTCCAAAATTTTGTATAAAATCCAGTAAGTCTTCAAAATGTCATGCTCGAAGGTGAGCTTTTGTGATCTCTATTCCATATATATATATATGCCAACCTTGATCCTTGTTGATTTAGGTGTCTACTTGCTTTATCAGTGTAAGACATGAAATGTCAAATGATATATAATATGATATGGTGCAAAGGTTGTGCTAGTTGTTTTGTTAACAATACATGAACTTATATGATACTTGTTTCAGGATGATGTCTTTATTGTTCATATATATGTGAAAGGTGTGAACAAGGATAACCTTAGTGTGATGTTCGACAAGCGAAATTTTAGCGTCAAGTTCCAGTCAAAGTAAGTTGACATCTTTTTGATTCTATTTTCATGATAACACTGGAGAGTTCACTAAGTTCTTGTTGATAACTTATCACTGCAGCTGGATAATATTAAACAAACTGAATTTCTTAAATGGACTTGTCCAGCTTCTATTTTTGAAACTGTCCGTTATCAATTTTTTGGGATATTAACCCTTGCTAAACTTTTAATCAATTTTATGGATTTTTTTATTTTTAAAAAGTACAGTGCAACTTTGACCAGATGGCACAGATATGCAAGATGATCTTGGTCTGCACTGGTCACATGGTTACATTCAGTTGCAACTATCAGGCTAAAAATTTAGACACAAGTTTTTAGGTCAGTCAGCCAAAAGTAAAGAGCCTAGTCAGACTGCAGGGATAAGAAATTACATTTTCTGTTTCCTTTTTCAGCCATCCACAGTTTTTGAAACTTCACTCAGGAGCCACAGAAGATACCAAATTTTGCTGGCAAATAAAACTTAGGTATAGTTTTTATAATAAAACTTAAGTACTGTTTTATGAAAGTATTTCCATTGAAAAGACTTGATTGCTTTAATGGATTATCTATTTATCAATATCAAGCCAGGTAAGTTTGCAGAGGTTGACAGCTTGATCAAAATCCATTGTTGTTTTTTTTAGCATTTTAGCCGCGTCACAACAAAACCAACATAATGCATTTGGGACCAGCCTGATCCGCGCAGTCTAATCAGGATCCATGCTGTTCGCTATCAGTTTCTCTACTTGTAATAGGGTTGGTTAGGGAACAGCATGGATCCTGATCAGACTGCGCGGATGCGCAGGCTGGTCTGGATCCATGCTGGTCACAAACGCACTATGTTGGTTTTGTCGTGACGCGGCTCATTCTATTTTAAATTTAACACTGTAGAGTCTTAATTTAAGCTCGTCTAGTTGAAGAATATGTAAAGGTATTGTATTCACCCAGGCATGGGTGTCACACTTAAGTTTTGCACAGAAGTTGGTACATGTACGGTAACTTATTTTAAAACTACTGACGGGCATGATTGAAACATCACAAGCTTATTAGAGAGTATGGTAGGAGGTCACTATCCACGGCCCATAACTGTTACATTGATTTAATATAGCTCTTTTTCAACTTAAAATTTTACATTATTCAGACTCTTGTTTTACAAGCACAGTGAATAGTCAAGTATGCTGTTTTACTGACAACTCTTGTCAAAGCATGAAATGTTTTTGTTTTGTTTTTTTAAAATGCAAGGGAGATTTGAGAGAAAGAAGAGAAAAAAAAGCAAAAAATAAATGAGAAAAAAGCAACTATAACTGTGGATGCTTACAGATGCCTGCTTATGTCTGATATATTGCAAAGAGAGGTCCAAGAGGTCACCAACAACAATATTATCTATATATATAATATATTATAACATAATTGAGCAGTGCCATGACAAACCCAACATAATGCATTTGCGATAAGCATGTATCCAGACCAGCCTGCGCATCCGCGCACTCTAATCAGGATCCATGCTGTTGGCTTACAAACCTATAACAAGTAGAGAAACTGATAGCGAACAGCATGGATCCTGATCAGACTGCCCAAATACGCAGGCTGGTCTTGATCCATGCTGGTCACAAACGCATTTTGTTGGTTTTGTCATGGCCCGGCTCATATGACAATATTATATTATAAATCTGTTATTTAATACCCATCAAAGTGACCTATGTGACATAGTGGTTATAGTTGCTGATTTAAAATCAATTGCCCCTGACTGCTATAGGTCTGACTTTGAGAAAGCTATCTATCTCAGTATGACTATTTAAATTACCTCCCTTAGTTTGTATAAAACAAATAAAATGAAAGCATTGAATAATTGCATATCTTGTGTATATATGTTTACAGAGGGGAGATAATTCCTGAGAACAGCAAATTTAAAGTCAACCAATCTTGTATTGAGATTACCTTGGCAAAATCTGTATTTGGCAGATGGGGTGATCTGGAAGCTTTGAAAAGAAAAGGTAAAATTTATGACTTAGTATATTATATATCTATGTTATATCCAACCAGTATTTAAATCTTGGCTCAACTGCTTGATGTAATTTTCCTTTAACTGAGCTTACTGTCTTTGAAAATCAGTTAGACATGTGTTGTTAGATTTTGGTACTCCCTGAAATACTTGCCATCTTGTCCATATGTTGGATTGACACATTCTTGTTTTGCGAATATCAAAATAACTTGAAAGATATTACTGGAATTTTAGTTACAGAAACCAGTAAAGGGAAGTGCTCTGTCCAAGAACAGTATTTTGCTGTCAGAGTGTAACACCATAAGTATCAATGAAACCAGTTATGGAGACCAGTGAGAGAATGTGCAGTGTCAAAGAACCTCGACCCTACAATTTTTAGTTTTTCAATAATATCCCTTTATACAGCTTGCACAGCCTTTAGTAATTGACAGATGTTTTCTCATATTTTGAAGGAACATACCATTGGTCTTAAAACTGGGTTTAGCAAGGTTCACTTGGATCAAGGTCACTGGTGCTAAAATTAACTTTTTGATCATACAGCCTTTATTAATTGACAGATATTTTTACTATTAAGTAGGTGTGTACCCAGGGTGGTTTTCTGTTGGCTGGATAAAGGGGTGTCTAAGGTCACTGGTGCTAGAAATGGATTTTTACATTTTTGCTTAAAGCCTTTCATTTTTGAACTGATGTCTGTTATACTTGGTAGGTAGATATCTTATGTGGTCCTATAACTTTGGAAGGATTAATTTGTCACTTTGCTCAAGATCATTTGTGCTACAATAAGTGTGTTACACTTTTCCTTATACAGCCTTTATATTTGATGACTGACGTCTTTGATGTTTGAAAGGTATATACCATTGGTGGTCTTCTTGCTTTAGGTGGAGTAAGGGGTACCTGGGATGAAGGTCACTGGTGTTTACACTCTTGCTTTTACATCCTGTAATAATTTACTATTTTGCATCAAAATATATTAACAGAGTGCATCAACCACATTCATCATCCAGGATTTTTTTCCAGAGGGGATTGATAAACTGAAGTTTAATATAAATGTACATAACAGTCAAATCTTATGGATGTCATGACCCGCTCTAGATCTCTGCATGTAAAATTTGAATGGTCTGTTCCAAATTCAAAGCAGGGCAAATCCATTACATAAATACAGCAGTTTAAGGGTTAATTTAGGAAATATGAAACCAGTGTTAAATGAAAGTCGGTAGGATTTATTTTAAAAAATGTCCTTTTTATTATAGAGACACCCCCATCATCAAAGTCAGACAACTGGATGTCTGTGAATTCTGTGTCTGTAAAGACGGACAGTAGCACAGACAAGGAACGTGAAACAATGTACAGTGAAATGAAGCAGAATATTGAGAGAGACAACCTGAAAGACAAGCCACCTGATGGCGGCCTAACTGCCTCACCTGTTCAGGTAATATTCAACACATCTTGTTTGCAGCCATAGTGGCAATTTAGCTAAAAGTTCAGAATAAAGAATATGAACTGCGTCACAGCTAAACCAAGGTAATGGGTTTGCGACCAGCATGGATCCAGACCAGTCTGCGCTTCCACGCAGTCTGATCAGGATCCATGCTGTTTGCTTACCAACCCTATTACAAGTAGAGAAACTGATAGCTTACAGCATGGATCCTGATCAGACTGAACTGACTGGTCTGGATCCATGCTGGTCGCAAATGCACTATGTTGATTTTGTCGTGATTCGGCTCATATGTCTTTGAAATAATTGAAAAGAAACCAAACAACCATGAATTGAGAGTTCGGTTTGACTGAGTCTGTTCAAAAGAGATCACAGATCTCTTGCTGTCTATTTCTTTAGGTTCAGACTTAGGAGGGAAGTTTTAATTTTGTCATCTTAAGAATCAATCAAGCTGGTATAAGGTATACTGACAGCAGGTGTGTCTCTGTTGTAATATCCAGGCCTGCATGGCTCAGTGGTCATGGATCTATATTTGACTTTATAACATTTTATTATTTGGTTCGAATTCCATCTATCAAGCTGAAATATTTTGATATTCTGAATGAAAGTTTATTCTTGTAATTCAATTAATCGTCCAAATTCCAAACAGATGTGCCAAATGATGTGACTGTTTGAAAATATTTGAGTTGTGTCTGTTTACGATTGAGCACTATGTTGGAACATATCCAGGCAAACGTGTGACACATATATTCTAGATTATCAGCACAACACTGTTATAAATATCTAAAATCAAGGCTCAAGGTTGTATTTGCAAAACACTGATAAAATTCTTAAAATCAAGGTCGTTTTCTTAATAAGGTAATATTATACTTGACAAAAAATCTGTATTGAAGGTAAAGGTGAATAAGTACAAAGAAAATATGAGATACTTTCACGCTTACTTTGATTTCATAGACCATCAATGTTAGATTGATATAATTTCTGTATTTTATTTAGAGACAGATATTTGACTACATCTTTACACATCAGGATGTTTTTGTGATAGTTCCTTTTTAAATGTTATTTTGAAGGTTAGAAATGTGGTTGGGTGGAAGAGCTGTTAAAGTGACATTTTAAAGTGACAAGTGTTTTTGTGTGAGACATAACGTCTCATGACAGTTTATCTGTGACTTTTTAGCTCACCTGTCACAAAGTGACAGGGTGAGCTTTTGTTATCGCTTTTCGTCCGGCGTCCGTCCGGCCGTCGTCCGTCCGTCCGTCCGTCCGTAAACTTTTGCTTTAAATGACATCTCCTCATAAACCACTGAGCCAATTTCATCCAAACTTCACAGGAATGTTCCTTTGGTGGTCACCTTTAAAAATTGTTCAAAGAATTTAATTCCATGCAGAACTCTGGTTGCCATGGCAACCGAAAGAAAAATCTTTAAATATCTTCTTTTAAACAACCCTAAGAGCTAGAGCTTAGATATTTGGCATGAAACATCTTCTAGTGAGTGTCTACCAAGTTTGTTCAAATAAAAGCCCTGGGGTCAAAATTGGCCCCGCCCCAGGGGGTCATTGATTTTCCCTATATGCATATAGTAAAAACTTAAAAAATCTTCTTTTAAAGAACCCAAAGAGCTAGAGCTAAGATATTTGGCATGAAACATCTTCTAGTGAGTGTCTACCAAGTTTGTTCAAATAAAAGCCCTGGGGTCAAAATTGGCCCCGCCCCAGGGGGTCATTGATTTTCCCTATATGCATATAGTTAAAACTTAAAAAATCTTCTTTTAAAGAACCTTAAGAGCTAGAGCTAAGATATTTGGCATTAAACATCTTCTAGTGAGTGTCTACCGAGTTTGTTCAAATAAAAGCCCTGGGGTCAAAATTGGCCCCGCCCCAGGGGGTCATTGATTTTCCCTATATGCATATAGTAAAAACTTAAAAAAATCTTCTTTTAAAGAACCCAAAGAGCTAGAGCTAAGATATTTGGCATGAAACATCTTCTAGTGAGTGTCTACCAAGTTTGTTCAAATAAAAGCCCTGGGGTCAAAATTGGCCCCGCCCCAGGGGGTCATTGATTTTCCCTATATGCATATAGTAAAAACTTAAAAAAATCTTCTTTTAAAGAACCCAAAGAGCTAGAGCTAAGATATTTGGCATGAAACATCTTCTAGTGAGTGTCTACCAAGTTTGTTCAAATAAAAGCCCTGGGGTCAAAATTGGCCCCGCCCCAGGGGGTCATTGATTTTCCCTATATGCATATAGTAAAAACTTAAAAAAATCTTCTTTTAAAGAACCCAAAGAGCTAGAGCTAAGATATTTAGCATGAAACATGTTCTAATGGGTGTCTACCAAATTTGTTCAAATAAAAGCCCTGGGGTCAAAATTGGCCCCGCCCCGGGGGTCATTGATTTTCCTTATATGTGTATGGCAAAAACTTAAAAATCTTCTTTGAAAAAACCCATATAGCTAGAGTTTAGATATTAAGCATGAAACATCTTCTAATCAGTGTCTACAAAGTTTGTTCAAATAAAAGACCCGGGGTCAAAATTGGCCCTGCCACGGGGGTCATTGATTTTCCTTTTTTGTGTATAATAGCAAAAACTTGAAAATCTTCTTTGAAAAAACCCATATAGCTAGAGTTTAGATATTAAGCATGAAACATCTTTTAGTAAATTTCTACAAAGTTTGTTCAAATAAAAGCCCCGGGGTCAAAACTGGCCCTGCCCCAGGGTGTCATTGTTTTTAACTATATGTGTATAGTAAAAACATAAAAAATCTTCTTTTAAAAAACCCAATGAGCTAGAACTTAGATGTTTAGCATGAAACATCTTCTTATGGGTGTCTACCAAGTCTGTTCAAATAAACAAATAAAAGCCCTTGGGTAAAAATTGGCCCCGGGGGGGGGGGGGGGCTATATACAGGTGAGCGACCTCAGGGCCTTCATGGCCCTCTTGTTTATCTTACCAATTCTATTTTTAGCTTGTTTGTTTAGAAGAAAAAGTTTATTTATTATAATTGCTTGGTTGTCAGTGTTCATTACTCTAAGACTTAAAGGGGCCTCCGTGGCTGAATGCATAAGACACAGTTGTAAGACAAGGGGCATTATTCTGAAATTATTTTATTAGAGTTATGCTCCTTTTTAATTGAGAATTTTTTTCCAAATAACTTAAGAAGCAGATTTATTTCAAAACAATTAATTTTATCAACATTGAACTTTGAATACTTCCTGATCATGGTAAGGTACATTTGTAAGACATTGAGCATTAGCTATGTTTTTGGAGTTATGACCCCTTTCAAAACTCTCAGTCAGCATTACACTTGACACAGTTATAAGACAACAGGCTGTATCATAAAAGGATTAAGTTGCAGAATATGCCCCATTTTGATTTAACTAGACCATTATATTTATGTTATATGAAGAGCTATCAGACAACCTTAGAAACTTAAAATAGTTTAACTTAAAACAGCTTATGAATATGAAACATATTGGGAATGAATATGCTTATGATTGATTGTTTAAGGTCATTAATAAGTTGAATTAATAAATGCTCAAAATGGTGAATTATGATTTAATTACAATGCTGAATCAGGATCCTTCATTTTCAAAAATTCTGGCTGAGCTATTATAAAATGATAATTTTATGCTAAGTTTACAAAGATTTTTTCAAAGATAATTGTATTAAATGTTTCAAACATTTTGCTGAACAATGTAGGATGTTTAAGTTTAATAGAACAATTATGCATGGTTTTACATTCCAAAATAAGTGCAGTTCTAATTTTGCATAATGTTTAAATACATTGTGCCAGATTTGCAATTTACATTCACTTTAATAACAGACAAAAATGCCCGCTAACAGTCGTAAATCCAATGTAATATATCAGCTAAAACTATCCTTAGAATGATGTCCTTGATAAGCAACAGAACTTGCATACACATTAGTATTTATGGCCTCATACCAGACAGACAGGACCCCATGCCAAGTAGATGCCTGCATAAAATAAATCACTGTGTGCTGTATGGAGATTATGCACATTATTTTATCATTGATAAGTCTTATTAGTTGGACTAAATGAATACAGATAAAGTTGCTTGCTGGGGTATCCTTGCCAGACCTGTTACTGTGTAAATATTTTGAAGAATAGCCCTAGGGAGGGCTATAATTGTACTGATCCCTGAGTTGGCGTCACACTTAGGTAAGGTTTTTTGTGTGCAAGTTAGTTTCTCTAAAACTGCTGAAAAGACTGGGTTGAAACTTCACACAACTATTTTAGAGCGTTAAAGGAGGTCAATGTCCAAAGCTTGATTTTTACAGAATAATAGCCCTTTATGAACTAACATTATTCTACATTAGCCATCTCGACAGGGACTTTGGATTTTTTATGTGAGGAAGCTGTCCAGCTAGCTGACGAAACGTTGGTGGTTCTACTCAGGTGCTCGTTCGTGCCTGAAATAATGCATGGAAGGGCACCTGAGGTCTTCCTCCACCAGTAAAGCTGGAACATCGCCAAATGACCTAGTATACTGTGTCAGTGTGAGGTAAAACCAAACAAACAATCTACATTACCAGGCACTTGTTTTACTATCAAGCACTGAGAGTAGTCAAGAATGCTGTCCTATTGAGAGCTCTTGTTGGTTTTTTTTTGGTTTTTTTTTGAAAATGATGATTTACTTTTTTTCTGCAGAAACCAACATGTAAAGTGCAGCCATTGAATAAACAGGTAGAAGAAAGAGAGCAGGTTGTACGGCCCCCAGGATTCACTGGACTTGACAATCTTGGCAACACATGTTTTATGAATGGTGTTTTACAATGTTTGGTGAACACAAGGGAGTTTAGAGACTTTTTTCTAGGTATTATATCTTATTTAACTTAGATGATCTTAATTTACTTAAAAAGCTCTTGGTTTAAAGCTCAAAGAAGTAGAACAGATCCATGCAACTGCGGTAATATGCTGGACTTCAATTTTGTAAATCTCGTCATAAGTGCCATCCTGTACTTCACCACAAAATACAAGAGTCAATGGAACAAGTATTTAAATTCTGTTCACTGAAATTAATTTTAAAACTCTTCCTGTATACATGTTTATAGTGTTATAATAATAATAAACCAATGCAAATGGTATGTCAGAAAATTTAAAAAATAGACAAGAGAGAGCGATTAAGGTAATGGTATTTTTGAATTTTTAATTTCAAAGAAAAATTCAAAACATGGAACCCTGTTACCAAGATGTCCGATAAGTTTATAAAATTGTAATCATTCAGAGATTTTTTTTTGGGCTTGTTTTATAGCCGATATTCAGTCATATTCCAAATTGAAAATAGTATATTATTTTCCCAATCCTCAGGAAAAAATTCCCAATTGAAAAGTTATAAGATAAAAATATTGAATACCAGGTAAAAAAACTTTGAAATAAGGACTTCTTCACTGTTATAGTGTTTAATTGTATTTGCAGATGCTTTACTAGACAGTTATTCGTTGTATTCATTCTATCACTGCAAAATTTAAGTCATGCGATTTTTATCCCAATTTTTAACATAACATTGCTGAAATTCCCAATTCCATGGGTATCGGTCATGTTCCCAAAATCCTGGGAAAAAAACTCATTATTAAGGATAAAATCAAAATGTTGTTTCTATTTTGCAGAAGGAAAGTTCCAGAATGATTTAAATACAGACAATGTTCTTGGTAGTGGTGGAAAATTGGCAGTTTGTTTTGCTGTGTTATGTAAAGTGCTTTGGTCTGGGAAGCATTTTTCTTATGCACCCTCCAAATTGAAGGTATACTATTTCTGCAAGATTAGTTGTAAAGGTTACAAAATGAAATATCAGTATATAAGTATAAAGTGAAGCAAATTTGATGTCATTTCATAAACAGTAGCAATAAGTAGCATTTTATTCCCCCAGTAAGCTCCAATTTATTTAGTTTTACTTCCTCAGTTTGCTTAAACTAAGCTAATAACAACACTTTGTTAATTTTATTTCATGCAATAAACTTATTAGTTAATTCACAATAGGATCAGTGGTTCTGGTCAGGTACCTTGTATATAAAATTGTGCAAAGACAGGCATTACTGTAAAGTTACCATACAATTGTATACTGTAGTTGAAAAACAAAAATGAAATTTCAAGGTGCTTCAACGCAAACTACAGTTTTGTGTCTATTTTTAGAATCTGGTAGCACAAAAGGCAAGTCAGTTTACTGGGTTTGCTCAGCATGACTCCCAGGAATTCCTGGCATTCCTTCTTGATGGACTTCATGAGGTAAGAGTAATTTCTTAGTATTTGTGTTTTTCTTAAAGTTGCATTCCTCCAGATAAGGCAAATTATTTCAAAAACATCATTCTTAAGAAAAATGTATTAAAATTTTGGGAAAAGTAAAAGGAATCCAGATTCCAGTAATAATTTAATTGTTATGTCTGACTTTGCAGTATTTATTGCCATATTTCTATTGTGTGAACAGAGAGTTTCTATATTCAAAATTTGATTCAGGTGAGCGATTTTAGGGCTAAAATTGCCCTCTTGTTTAATTTCAATGTCAACTTCTTAGAATAGTTAGCAAGTTCACTTACTGTTTGACTTATTTATTTGAGCAAGGTATTAGTATTTATCACAACATTTCACCAACTTTTTGTAAATGACTTGCACTTTTTTTTGCCAGTCATTTCAATGGTGAATATTCATCAATGTATTTACATCTCTTTTGAGACCTTGACATTTTGTAAGTGTTAGCTCATTGTATTTATTTGTGTGGTTATTATCATATTAGGGATGAATGCATTTATGTTTTCACTGCTTGTTTTTTGTTCTGAGGGAGAATTGAAATAAAAAAGGCAAATAACTCTTTTAAGGATCAAAGTTTTCTGTCACACATTTTGTGTGCAGAAATGTGCTGCATCACTTGATAAATACATTTTTTTTAGATCTTATGCTCACAATTAGTGTTTCATACCACATGTTCCATCTGTATTAGGTTTTGAAACCTTTAATAAGTGTCAATCTTCTAAGAATTGATTGCATAGAATGAATTGTAATCTGATTTAAGCTTAAAAAATTATGTATCAAGAAAATGCTATCACAAACGTTAATTTCTGACTTGAATCTTCACATACATGTAGTACATACATCCAAATTTTGTGTACAAATGGACTTGATACATGTTTGACATTGTTTATTTGTTAATACATTGTAGTAAATTCTATACTTGTTGTTAGCACAGGGTTCAATTTATAGGGAATATATTCTAGTTTGATTTTCTTGAAAAAACTTAAAGACACACCATCGAATCTGTTCCTGAACTAACTCATGAGTGCAATGAGTATTAAGTTTCTTGGTGAAGAAAGCAACTGCCAGCCATAGACAGTGTTGGAACCCACATGTCTAGTGTTCATTAGACTACCAGTCCAACACATTAACCATGTGGTCATGCTTCTACTTAAATAAATAAATGAATGAATTGGTAGGTCAATTAATTGATTTAAAAAATAAGTTAATTAATTAAATTAATTACAGGATTTGAACCGTATAAAGAAGAAACCATATACAGAGACAGTAGAGGATGGTGGGAGACCAGATGAAGTTGTTGCTAATGAAGCATGGGATATTCATAAAAAAAGAAATGATTCGTTTATTGTAGATCTTTTCCAGGGTCAGTACAAGTCCAAATTGGTATGCCCAGCATGTGGAAAGGTGAGAGATGTTTGTTTGTTTGTTTTAGATTATTTATACTTTTTGTCAGACTGGTTATGGTCCCTTACTCTAATTTACTTGCCACATACCATTGCCAGTTTGAAAATCAAAATACAATTGGGTACATTCTAGTGAGGACGCTATCCAGCAACAAATAGCAGGTAAGGTTTCGTCCCGCAAATATAAGTTGGGGAAAAACATAACCAAATATAATGAATTGTATATTTGTGAAACATTACTTTTGTACTGTTTTGGACAAGCTTGAACAAAGACTTTTGTTGTACCTTATCACAGCCTTGATAAGACATGAAAAAATGTGAGACATGTCAATTTTTGTACAAGCTTTGGATTAAGTTTTACTTTTATGAATTGATAAAATTGTGGTGTTTAATAGAAGATCACATGATATATTTTGTTAATCAGTAGAAATTTCAGACTCTTAAAGTAATACATGTAGTACTTTTATTGCACTTTAATTACAGGTGTCAATAACATTTGATCCATTCCTGTACCTGTCACTGCCATTACCAAAGAGGCAGCGCTTGCTACCTGTCACTTTCATGTGGAAAGATCCCTACAGGAAACCTATTAGGGTATGGTTTTATTGTGACTTTAAGTTTAGTTAGTACTTTGTATATTGTGTCAGTGTTATAAATTTGTCTCCTTACTTCATTAATGTACTTAAATGTATGCATTTATAAATGCCATAATTTTATAAATACTTAAAAAATGGCTTACCTTCTATTTAGCTCTCTATATATGTCATGTCTGCTATTGTTTGAAATAGTGGATTTGAAAGTGTTTTTTTTCTATTCTGTAAAGCTGTTATATCTATCATATAACTAAAATGATGGTTATAATTTTGATGTAAGGTGATTACAGAATGATAATGATGATGATAATTATGAGGAGGAGGAGGATACTGATGATGATAATAATAATAATAATGATGATTTATTATGATGATGTTGATGGAAATGTTTGTGGTGGTAAAAATGATTGTGATGATGGTGAATCTTATTATGATGATGTTAATCTTGATGATGATGAATTTAATGATGAATATGATGATTGTTTTGATGATGTTATTGATGATTGTGATGATGTTAATGATTGTGTTAATTATGGTGTTGATAATGATTATTGTGTTGATGAAGACTATGATATTGATAATGGTGTGAAAAATGATGATGATAATTAAGCATATCATGTTGATAATGATGATAGTGACAGTTGTGTTAATGATGATTATAGTGATGAAAAAAATTATTATTATTATTATTATTATCATGTTTATGATGGAAATGCAAATGTCATAATGGTGATACTGATTTTTGTTGATTTGTATGATGAAAGATGATGTAACAAAAATTCTACTCTGCACTAACATGATAAAAATGTAACTTACTTTACAATCTAAAGTCTTTCCAATTACAGTATATGTTGAAGTTATCAAAAGAAGCTACGGTAGAAGGTTTAAAAGATGCTTTACATCGTAAAACAGGAGTTGCTCCAAGCAATGTAAGTCTTATTGAATTGATTTTAGATACTTGTTATCATTGATAATGCTTAAAGTCTTGACATCTTGAAGTATTTTATATATGGTTATAGTGCCCAATGTAGAACCTCCTCTGTGAAGAGTATTTATGATTTTCAGTGAGGAAACAGAGTTAACATGGGTATTTGGTTCAAACCCCACTGGTTGCATTTTTATTCTTTAAATTTTCAGTTTTTTTATGTTTTGTCCTTTTTGTCAGATCAGATTATCCTCATTTTTGCAAATCTTAAATAAGAAATATTTGCAGTATTATATATATACAAAAATATATAAAAGAAGGTGACCTTAATATCCTAAAGGTTAACTTTCTGTATTTTTATGCACATAATTATGTTCAGAATTATTTATAAATCATTGTTGTTGCTCCATTGAGTCATTGTTGATTTAAGGGAACAGAAGTACTTATGAATACTTATCATGATTTGAAACTTTTTTTTTGGGGGGGGGGGGGGGGCAGGGTTAAGCTAATGATTTGATAATGTTCAAATATATTACAGATGCTGTCAATGCTTATTAAAAGTAGACAATACATTTATGTACTAGTATCTTCATTCTGAAACAGAAACTAAACATATTTACAAAACTGGTTTTTATTTGAAGTTGATCAAAAGCAAATTGAACTTGTAATATATAGAATTTTATTCTTGTTCTAAAGTGTATAAAGCTATATCTAATGAAATAATTTATAAAAATTTCAAAAACAGTGAAATTATGTTGTTTTTATACCCTAATTTTTTTTTTGAAAACTGGTTTCATAGAATGTCTTTATTATTTATATACACATATATTATATTTTAACAGAACAGAACAATTACTATTTTCTGTAGGTTTGACAATGATTTCACACATGCCCCATTAGCTTACATTTAATATACTGACAAATTACTTTTCATTCCAAGTATTCTGTAATCAATAAATTACAAATCATAAAGAGCATAATTATACATATTGGTTTGTAAACTATATGAGCCGCGCCATGACAAAACAGCATAATGCGTTTCCAGACCAGCCTTTGATCTGCGCAGTCTTATCAGGATCCATGCTGTTCACTCTAATCAGGATCCATGCTGTTTGCTATCAGTTTCTCTACTTGCTATAGGGTTTTTTAGCGAACAGCAAGGATCCTGACCAGACTGTGCAGATACGCAGGCTAGTCTGGATCCATGCTGGTCGCAAACCCGCTATGTTAGTTTTGTTGTGACGCGGCTCAATTATTATTTTACTCACAATGACTTGAATATTTCAGATACGAGTATTTGAAGCATATAAAGGAAGAATTCACAAGATGTTTGTGAGGGGCTCAAGCCTTAGTCTTGTACAAGCGAATGATTGTATAATAGGGTATGTGTCGGACTGGTTATTGTATATTAGGGCATGTGTTAGACTGGTTGAATATACTTTTTTTTAAATGTATACCAGTCCATTTAGGTTTAAGGAAAAACCGTCAATTCATTAGTATGTGACATGTGATTAATGAGTTTAACCTAGGAATCATTATGCTTTACAGATTTTACTTAATTCTCATGTGTTTAGGTTATCAGTTATTTGTTGAAAGTTCCATGTTTAATAATGAGTGATAAATAAACTGGTTATTTTATTCTGATTACATAATGCATTTGGCATTTATTGTTCACTAGTTTTAAGAGCAGATAATCTATACCCATTTCAGTATGTTCTAGGTACCCATAGGATATTTGTGTTTATATTGATAAACCTACATGTCTTTTATAAATGCACATCCTTCATCACTTTACTGTCCCATTTTACAAATTTGTTTAGTCTGACACCTTCCAGGAAATTCATTATTTACTTGTTTCACATTGTGTGTAATTTGTTTAAATTGATGTCAAGTGTTTCACTTTAATTGTAAGATTAACATAATATTTCTATTAAGACTTTGTTTGATTCACAATTTAAGTGGTAAACTAACACGCATTTTCACGATATTTGTCACATGCTATACATTTCAGGTGTGAGGTATTGTCAGAAGATGTCGCAGGCGAGCCTGTGTATGAGGTTGCCATTGTACAGGTAAATATATGGTGTTAAATTGTGAACAATGAGTTTAACACATTAAAAATAAAGTGTTGAAAGCAGCTAGCCTTCAAATGTTTTATTAAAAAAAAAATTTTAAATATCAATGCAACACGCCTCCAGATGGTAAAATGTTGGTCTTCTTTGAATTTGTTAATCTATTATTCTAACACTGGCGAGAAAAGTGATATATTTCACAGCAGATACACTCTCTGTTCTTATTTCATCCCACAATGTGGTCCTCTACAAAAGTTGAACGAATGATATGTCCCTGGCATACAAAAGTTTAATGCATTATGTCCCTGGTGGCACCTTAGTTTATATAGACTTATTCATTGAAATATATTTAAGTTTTCTTGAAGAAAACAAAAATGCCCAGAACCTTGATATTTTGGCATGTGACATAACCTTAAGTTCCTCTGTAAAAATGATACAAGTCAAAATTTACCCTACTCATGGGCTCACTTAGTTCACATTATTTTTACTTCACAGGTCAACATTTTCTACTGGAGGGTATATGTCGTGTCCGGTCTATAACTTTCTTATCTTTGAAGGGATTTTGTAAACATTTGCCACAATTGTTCACAATAATGATATGATGTGTCATGCGCAACAATGGGTCACCTACCTCTAAGGTCAAGGTCACACTTGGAGGTCAAAGATTAACATAGTCTGTTATAGGGTATATTTTGTATTCGGTCCAAAGCTTTTTTGTGTCGCCTCTACTGAGTAGTGGCGACATATAGGGATCACTTCTCTGTCGTCCGTCTGTCCATCCGTCTGTCACAAAACTTGTCGGGACTACTCCTCATAAACTACTGGTGCAATTTCATCCAAACTTTACAGGATTGATCAGTACCAAGTATAGTTGTGCATATTGTCAGCATTTTCCCGTTCAATGATTTTTGTCAGAGTTATGGCCCTTTAATAATTTTCATTTTTATATGCCCGAAAGAATTTCGGGCATATTATGTTATACCCCCTGGCGTCCGTCTGTCCGTCCGTCCGTCTGTCCGAGCCAACATTTGATTATTATGAGCTTCATTCCGTAGTTAAATAAAGAACATAAACTCATAAAATTCAAATTAAGAGCTATTTTTTTGTTTTTATGAGCTTATTTTGCTTATGGACGTTGGTCCAGGTGGTGTTTATGAGCTCATTTGCCTCATAAACATCAAATTTTGGTACGTCCGTCCGTCCGTCCGTCCGTCTGTTAGCAATTTGGTTTCCGGAGCATAACTTAAGTTCCATTTGGCCCACAGTATTCAAACTTCATAGGATGATTGCCCATATTGGGTAGAAGACCCCTATTGATTTTGGGGTCACAAGGTCAAAGGTCAAGGTCACTATTAGCTAAATACTGAAAATGGTTTCCGGAGCATAACTTAAGTTCCATTTGACCCACAGTATTCAAACTTCATAGGATGATTGCCCATATTGGGTAAAAGACCCCTATTGATTTTGGGGTCACAAGGTCAAAGGTCAAGGTCACTATTAGCTTATTACTGAAAATGGTTTCCGGACCATAACTTAAGTTCCATTTGACCCACAGTATTCAAACTTCATAGGGTGATTGCCAATATTAAGTAGAAGACCCCTATTGATTTTGGGGTCACAAGGTTAAAGGTCAAGGTCACTTTTAGCTAAATACGTAAAATGGTTTCCGAAGCATAACTTAAGTTCCATTTGACCCACAGTATTCAAACTTCATAGGATGCTTGTCCATATTGGGTAGAAGACCCCTATTGATTTTGGGGTCACAAGGTCAAAGGTCAAGGTCACTATTAGCTTGATACTGAAAATGGTTTCTGGAGCATAAATGGTTTCTGGAGCATAACCTAAGTTCCATTTGGCCCACAGTATTCAAACTTCATAGGATGATTGTTCATATTGGGTAGAAGACCGCTATTGATTTTGGGGTCACAAGGTCAAAGATCAAGGGATTACTATCACCTTTAAACTGGAAACAGTTTTCGCTCAATAACTCAAGTATTAATCGAACTACAGCTGTAAAATTTTATAGGATTAACAGCTTTATACCCCATACGTCTTGGTGTCCATCCGTTGTAGCATTTTACTTACAAGATAACAACTTGATGGTGGTGCTTTGAAAACAGCAACTGTATATATACATGAATTTTCTTCAGCTATAAAGGAGGATTGCTTTTTGAAGGAGGTAATACTGTATTTAATTCCCATGTCTTCCTCACTAAAAGAAAGAGTACTTTCGGGCATATAATGCTCCGCCTAGCGGTGCTCTTGTTATAGTTTGTCTGGACTACTTCTCTTATACCACTAATGTAATTTCAATGAAATTTTTCAGGATTGATCTGTAGCTCAAATCCTTGCGCATATTGCTCGGGTTTTCTGGTTGAATAATTTTTGCCAAGTTATGGCCGTTTGATAAGAAGGTGTTATTTCTGTGTGTTGCTAGATACACAAAAGCTTGTCTGGACTACTCCTCATAAACTACTGTTGCAATTTTACCCAAACTTTACAGGAATGATCGGTTCCAAGTTTAGTTTTGCACTGTACGTCTGTCTGTCCGTCTGTCAAATAACTTGTCCCAACATGAAATTGGCCATCATGAGGCGACATATGTGATCACTGATTGCACTTGTTGAAAATACTTCGCACAAATAGTCACTTTAATAAGTTGATGTGTCATGGGTAACTACTGCATCCCTACCTCCAAGGTCAAAGTCACATTTCGAGGTCAAAAATTAATATTGTCTATTAAAGGGTATATATTGTGTTGGAACTTCTTCATATTGCAAGGGATTTTGAAATAACTTGACACAAGTAGTCAGAATTATAAGATGATATATCAAGTACAACGCCTGCCTCCTTATCTCCAAGGTCAAGGTCACACTTAGAGGTCAAAAGTTAACAGAGTCTGTTATATGGTATATTTTGTGTCCCATCCATAACTTCTTCATAGATCAAGAGATTCTGAAAAAACTGAGAACAAATAGTCACAATGATAAGATGATATGTTAGTGTAACACCAGTGTCCCTACCTCCAAGGTCAAGGTCACATGTAGTGATCAAAGTTTTACATAGTCTATATTAGGGTATATTTTGTGTCCAGTCCATAACTTTTTCATACATCAATAATTTTAAAAATGCTTTGCACAAATAATCACAATAATAAGACGATATGTCAGGTCCAAAACATGGTTTCCTACCTCCAAGGTCACTCCAAGAGGTCAAAGATTAACATAGTCTCTTTGAGGATATATTTTGTGTCTCATCTATAGCTTCTTCATAGTTCAAGGGATTTTGAAAATACTTGGTACAAATAGTTACAATAATAAGACAATATGTCATGCACAACACCTAGACCCCTACCTCCAAGGTCAAGGTCACACTTAGAGGTCAAAGCTTAACATTAATTTTATTTCTTTAATATTTATTGTTGCATTTGCAGATTTAGCATTGATCTGCCACATAATTTTGGACTGAAAGTACATAAATCCATACCTCAATCTTTTGAAATAGCACAATTTTATGTCCATATTAAACTTCCCCGAGGCCGGGGACGTTGGTAACAAATTCTTGTTGATACTTGTTTTTGTTTTTCTAAAGCACATAGATATAAGCTGAGAATTTCTTACGAGGTGTCGGCCTAACCAGAAAATTTTGTTCACAGCTTTGCATAACACATAATGATATTATAAAAACATTGATGTTTTATGTTTTCATAGAGAACACTGATGCCGAATCAGTTCCCTAGCAAATGTAGCAGCTGCAAGAAATTATGTCCGGAAGGCTCGAAGCTGAAAAGATGTACAAAATGTTTCAAAGTTGGATACTGTGACCAGTAAGTCAGCATCTGCCTGAAGTTCAGGTTTTTTCTACTCCTGAAAGTACAGTAAAGATTGTGAAAATAATGATAGATTTAGTGTTTTCTGACATTTTCAACTTGCACCAATGAATCATTTATTGATGGTGCATATTTTTTGCCTGTTTGCCCATCCTTCCTTCATTTCTATTTTCTATGTATGGCACTTTCTTACTGTTTCTGACAGTGCTGTCATTCATTGAATGATTTCTTATAGAAGTTTTATACATCCTGCCAACTCCTACACTTGTAGATAGGGCATCAGGTTGACTGGGTCATTATAAAGTTCACTCAGTGTAAAGGTAAGACACATTCGTATTTGGTCATGTTAAAGTTCACTCTGTCACATTGGTATTTACATGGTTTTTTTTCCAGGATTTTGGGAACATGACCCATACTTATGGAATTGGTAATTTCAGAGATGTTTGGAGAAAAATTGGGGAAAAATGCATGAATTAATTTTTGCAAAGGTGGCATCTTCAAACATTTAAGCACCATAACAGTTAAGCTAATGAATGAAGCCCTTATTTTCAAAGATTTTACAATTTGTTAATCAATATCTTTATTTTGTAACTTTTCAATTGGGAATTTTTTCCTGTTGATTGGGAAAATAATATACTATTTTCAATTGGGAATATGACTGAATATCGGCAATAAATTAAGCCAAAAAAATCCCTGTTAATTTGGTCATTTAAAGTTCACTTAATGTAAAAGTGACATTTTCCTATTCGGCCACGGTAAGTCTACCATTTATCAAGGTAAAATAGGGAAGCATGCATCAGTCATACAAATATTCTTGTTTTAGAAATTCAGGGCATGCTCATATTTACAGGGCTGCCAGTTACAACTAATTATAAAGGAAGACATATTTGACAGTATTCGTTGTTGCTACTATTATATTTGTTTATCTATTTAAGGTAGAGCATCCATCAGGATTCAACAATAAACATAAACATATCCAAAAGTACATTAAAACATGATAAGATATCACAGAATAATGATAATAATTTTTCTTTTCATTTTTGTTTAATTACAGTTATAAAAATATCCTGAAAACCTTATCCTTTGGTAACAGCAAAAATGACCAAAACTGTGTTGAAATTTTGATATTTGACCTTTTAAAATGAGGATTTTAGCACAAGAAATGTGTTTAAAAAGGGGAACAAAATGAGGATTTTAGAACAAGAAATTTGTTTAAAAGAGGGGGAAAAATTCAGGTATAGTCACAGGCTTAAAGCTGATAAGCCATAACTGGTCAGTCATGGTTACCAATATTAAGGCAAATAAACAATTTTATTTTTATTTACAGGACATGTCAAAAGAACCACTGGATGTACCATAAAGGTCAGTGTAAGACAACACCTGAACCTGTTGGTACTCCATTTATTCTGAGTGTACCCGAATCTCGTGCCACATTCTCTAAGGTGTGCCAACTCATGGAAGCTTATTCCAGGTATGACCTTTAAAACTCTAATCAATAATAATAGCTATAACTTACTACATTACAAAAAAAAATTTGTATGAACCAGATCAGATGGGGATTTCAATGCAGTCTGGCACCAGATAAATACTGTTGTCTTCTTAATTTTTGAAATTTTTAAACCCTTCTTTTTAATGGACAGTTCTACATTGAAAGCAAGGTAAGTCTGTCATAAACATTTTGCAATGAAAGGTACATGTAATTATGTTAGAAAATGTATTTGTTTAGTCTTTAAATGATAAAGAGGAAAACTTTTGTACTCTACTATTTTTTCTATCAGGGGTAAAAGTTTGTATATATTTATCTAATTTTTTCCTATTGTATTGACATTGATACCATAGGTCATTGTTTACCTCAATAGAGGTATGTCATTAGTGCCTTTAGTTTCAAAGTTTTGTAATGAATCTCAGAATAAGATAAGATTTTTTCCAAGGTTTAAATACTAAATGGAACACTTGATTATTCTTTGCTTTTGAAATATTTAAGTAAACTTTTATTTATTGTAATTTTGTTAAATTCTTGATTGACACTAAGTACTTTTTTCTATAACACAGATACTCAGTTGACGTCTTCCAACCTCCAGTGAAGCAAGATACAACTCCAAAACTCAGTAGCCGCTTGTCCTCTTCCAATCTCAGTAACAGCAGTCAATCAAGTGGTAGTCAAAATAGTCTTGATAGCCAATCGTCTTTCAGTAGCTCGTGCACTATAACAGCCGAGCAGGAACAAAATCTCGAAGATACAGACTTGTCTCCAGACTGTGATAGACTGTCCATTGAAAATGTTCAGTCATTTACCATTGGCAGTGACTCAGCACTTTCCGGTCAGACCGGTTTAAGTGTGGTGTCTGATACCAATCAAAACTGCCAGACTGGTGTTATGGAAATTAATAAACCAGTCATAGGAAAGGCAGAAAAGGATAGTGTAAATGTAACACAAAAGAGTGATTCTGGGTTTAGCTCAATGGTAGATGTACACACCCAGGGAGGGACCAATGGTTCTGAAGGGAGTAGATGTGCAACAGCTTCAGGGAGTGATAAGGGTCAGGAAAAAGAGTTTACCTCGCCTATTAAGCCAGTTTTGGGGATCCAGACAGGAGACACTGAGAGATCTACTCCAATGTTTTATATAAAACCAGTCAACTCAGATGGTGTTGGTCTTACAGGGACTGATGGGGAAAGGCTTGATGACAAAGGTGAGTCCATTGACAGCAGCAACACTACTCCCCCACTTCCATTTTATGATTATTATATGTCATATCCTTTGATTCTATAATTTATAAAATAATATTGAAAATAAGTGAAAAAGAATTTCTTATCTTTCAACATTTGATGTGGTGAAATAAGCAACCACATAACACAACAAAAAAATGTTGAAAATAACATGGACTGCTTAAAAGTTTTGTTGCTTGGATAAATTACATGCAAGTTTATGACTCAAATCATGTTAAAATGTTTTTATTTTACAAATTTTATTTTTTGGCATCCATGGCCGAGTGGTTAAGGTTGTTGACTTCAAACCACTTACCCCTCACTGCTGTGGGTTAGAATCCCGACAGGGACTTTGGATTCTTTCATGTGAGAAAGCTTTCCAGCTAGCTTACGGAAGGTCGGTGGTTCTACTCAGGTGCCCGTTCATGCCTGACATAATGCATAGAAGGGCACCTGAGGTCTTCCTCCATCAGTAAAGCTGGAAGGTCTCCAAATGACTTATACTGTGTCGGTGTGAAGTAAAATCCAATAAAAAAAAAAACAAATTTTATTTTGCAGTTTAAAGTTTTGACCCCCAAAAAAGACTATTTCTTCTTAGTTTTACTTGTTAATTTAAAATTGTGCCTTCAGATTAAATTGCATTCTGTGGCAGTAAGAGACAAAAGTATGAGTTTATAAACATATATATAAATATGATTTAAAAATTCAATTTTGCCTCAAATATTTTTAGGGGAAGTCCCTCTCAATTTGACAAATAAGTTCTTCTTGTCAGTAGATTGGAAAAATAATGACAAATTACCTGGATATGTACTGGTTCAGTCAAAGGAGATGGTAAGTTAATATTATTACAGCTAACAAGGCACTCCTTATCTAACCTTTGATATTTACAATATAACATCATAGGTGGTCACAATATGAATATATAGTGTCATTAAAAAATTGCCAGTTTTAAAAAGTTTCTTTTAAGAAAGGGCTAACTTTATTTGTCTTGTCATAGGGAATGCAGCTTCCCATACATAGTTAATTAAATTTTTTTTTCAGTTTAGACATATTCAATAAGAATTTCATAGGTTTCAATTAATTTCTGTGATAAAAATATTTTACTCAAGGATGAGCATAGTATATCTTTAAGGAAAATATTTTTAAAGTGTTGATTTCTAGATGACTGTATTGCTGTGTAATGAAAGTTGAGATATTTAAGCTTGTTGTTTGTGTTTGACTGTATTTGTATTTACTTTTTTACGTCAGCTTTTTACACATGTGACTTCTCAAAGATGTTTAAGTCTTTCTTTACTTTGAGAATATTGGTTACTTTTAATTAATATAAGAGACACTAAAGATGTCTAGTAAAATTCTTTTCTGACATAGAATTAGCATTGTTATACTCATTGAGATGACTTTGGTCATTTAATGGTATGCGCTTGTCCATCTGTTAGCCAATGTGGTAATATAGATAACTTATAAGTATGCTACCTTTGTACTTATAAGGGAGGATTGCTCATTGTGTCACATTGTAACTTTGTGAAAAATCTTATCTCATTAAAGCAGCATGCCTTCAGAATTATCCTAATTTTCATGAAAATTTTGAAAATGTATTTAAAGGTAAAATATTGTGAAATGAACAAAGAAAGTACTTGACACATCACAATTGGCACTTAAAATCCACGTAAATTACCAAAAAGAGGTCAAAATATGCATAAATCACCCCTACTGCGTTAGTAACGCAGTAGAAATATGGTGATAAATACTACAAAACACAGTCATTAATTGCACATAAGATATAAATTATCACTTGAATCTTTAAGTTGTTTACTTTTCTCAAACTTTTAGTATGGTTTTTCCAAGTTTGATTTTCTTGAAATATTTTGGGTCATCTGGAGGCATGCAGCTTTAATAACTTGAGATCGGATAAGTCTACGTTTGTCAAACCTGATAGGGATATTGATCCACATTGAGTATGAGGTCATTAGGTCAAAGTTACAGTTTTGCTTAGTGGAAAATCCTTGTCCAATTAATAATTTGAAAATGATGCAACATAGTTTTGTGAATATTTGTTGGCACATTGCCCTTGTGGTTGACACATATAGATGCATTTGTGTTAAGGTAATTCGGTCAAAAGTCAAGGTTTCAATGACACTTTGTTGAAATCTTGTTCTCCCAATAATTATTTCTGGTTGTTTTATTCAATTTTTAGTTGAATTTTTTAACATTGGTCATCTTTTGACACTAAAGAGGACATAATTAATAATGACCTGTGCCACGAAAAAACCAACGTTATGCGTTTGCGACCAGCACATCTGCACAGTCTGATCAGGATCCATGCTGTTCGCTTACATACCCTATTACAAGTAGAGAAACTGAAAGCGAACAGCATGGATCCTGATCAGACTGCGCGGAGGCACAGTCTGGTCTGGATCCATGCTGGTCGCAAACGCATTTTGTTGGCTTTGTCGTGACGCGGCTCAATTATTTCATATTTCAGGACTTTGAGAATGACAGTAGTATGATGTCAGCTTCATTAGAAGGTAAGTCACCATCTATAAATTGTCACCTTAGTGAAGCAACAGTTTAAGTCCTTAATTTAGTAGGTGTTAACCAGTTATTGCACATAGGTGACAAAATATGATTGGATAGCATGTAGTAATACAATTGAGTCTACAGGTTTATGTTTGCAAGATAAAAGCTTAGAAACAGCTCACGTTTTTTTCAAACTGTTTAATCATTTGGTATAACATCATTTACAAGTCTTCTAACTTTTTATGGAAAGTTTGGCACATGTTTGGAAAATAAAAGGTTAGTAGTGGAACATGAGCAAACTTGGAGAGAACTACTATACATGTTTATTGTATGTCTGAACTTTTAGTCACAAAGTTTAACTTAAGTCTAAATCAACACTATTGTTTGATATGGAGACAGTGGCTGAGTGGTAAAGGTCCTTGGTTTTGCAATCATAATCTGAACAGGCTTACAGTTAACTTATAGAAGGCATGACTTGTGGTTCTACTTACATGCCAGGAAAGGGCATCAATGGTCAAGTGGATAAGCGTGTTGACTTCAAACCACTTGCTAATCACTGCTGAGGGTTCGAATCCTGTCAGGGACTAATAAAGTCTTTCATGTGAGGGAGCTTACCAGCCCACATACAGAACATCAGTGGTGTTCTTAGTAGCCCACTCATACCTGAATTAATGAACACAGGGACACTTCCTCCACCAGCGAAGCTGGAAAGAGGCCATAGTACCTTCACAGGTGTGAATTTAAACCAGTTTAAAAAGTAAGAGGAATAGAAAAAAATGAATGATTTGTCAACTCTATGGAAGTAATCATACATGTACATCAATATGTTTGTGCTGTAAACCTGTAAAACAAGCATACATAAAAAGACTGTAATTAAAGTACATTAATTTATGTCTACATGGACTAATTAAAATTACAGAGCAAAATTACTTGTCCGAAAGGACCACTTATTTGTTTCGAGTGTTATGTAGTTTATATCAGGAATTATGTAAAAAAAACTATATTGATAATGCAAGTGTAAATCTATGTATTTACAGAGAGTCATGTGACGTTAGAACAGTGTCTAGAGTTGTTCACAGAGCCAGAAATATTGAATCCAGAAGAAGCATGGTAAGTCTGTGGTTATCATACACGTGTTATACCTTTCTTTTAAAAAGCAGCATTCCAATAGATGTCTGCCTAGTGCTGATTTTTAATAGATATGTATAAGGTGCCCATTATAAGGAAAAGGTTTCATCCAAAGACACAAGAATATAGATTGCCTCTCCATAAATAATGTAACATGTGATTTACAGTTAATTCTGATTAAAAAATAAAAAAAGTATTTTAATGCCTTTTTATGCCCCCTGGCATATAGTAATTGAACCGTCCATCCGTCTGTCCGTCCATCACAAAACTTGTCCAGACTACTCCTCATAAACTACTGATGCAGTTTCATCCAAACATCCAAACTTTACAGAAATGATTAGTACCAAGTCTAGTTGTGCATATTATCAGCATTTTCCGGTTCAATGATTTTTTTCAGAGTTATGGCCCTTTAATATTTTTTATTTTTAAAGTTTGTCCGGACTACTTATTATACTACTATGTAATTTCAATATGTAATTTCAATGAATCTTTACAGGATTGATCTGTAGCTGAAGTCCTTGCCCATATTGCACGGGTTTTCGGGTTGAATGATTTTTGGCTGAGTTATGGCCCTTTGATAAAAAGGTGTATTTTTCTGTGTGTTGCCAGATACACAAAAGCTTGTCCGGACTACTCCTCATAAACTACTGGTGCAATTTTATCCAAACTTTACAGGAATGATCAGTACCAAGTCTTGTTGTGAACTGTTCATCTGTCTGTCCGTCTGTCACAAAACTTGTCCCAACATGAAATTGGCAATCATGAGGCAACACATGTGATCACTGATTGCTCTTGTTAAAGATATGTATAAGATTCACATAATAAGGAAAGATTTCATCAAGTATACAAATGAAGTGATTAAAGTTGACCGAAATGTTAATTATTCACAGAATTTTTGTGCCCAAATACTCAAGAATATAGGTTGTTTTTCCATAAATGATGTAACAAAAGATTTACGGTTAATCTGACAAAAAAGAAAACATATTTTAATGCCTGTTTTTATTTGTATATATACTCAGATCATGATATTATATGAATAGTGTACAGTATCCGGGGGCGACTGGGAATGGTTTGCGTGAAAGTGTTGTGTTGTTTGTTTTTTTCATAAATAAGGGAAGGTCATAATAATTTTCAATGAAGTTAAATGATATTGTTTGAATATTATATACTTTAAAAGCTTTATAAAAAAATAGAAAAGTTGCAGATACATATAACATAAAGGCATTGTTACCAGGTTATAAACTGCAGAAACATACTAGCCAAAATTTGGTATGGTGTTTTGGTGAGAAAAATAGACTATAGATCCATATTAGTAGTTTATCACAAGTTTTCGCGAAGTAGAGTAGTAGACGGACACAAGAGGTATTTCGGACAGTTTTTATTTTATCTCACGGAATCAAAGAGTGCAGAATATTGAGTCATGGGTATTGATATCCAGTTATATAGGATGCGCATAGGGATCTTTTCCATGTGTAAAATGAAAAGAAAATCCAGAAAAAGCAAAGTTAGGTATAATCCAAATACTGTTGGAAGTGACATACATATTAGAGTGTTTTCATCTATGATTGTACTGACGGCAGTTTTAACAATGACTTATATTGTAATGTTGGTAAATTGTAAGGTGTTAGACAAAATTTCAAACTCTAATCTGATGTCAACTAATTATGATTATGAAGACGGAAAGAATGAGATAACTTTTCACTCATATGTAGGTGGCACAATCCATATAACAAATCATCTGAAGTTAATACATGTGAATGTGTTTACATGTAAAGAGTTACTGTTTCTTTCTGGGGACATTGAACTAAATCCAGGTCCTTTAACAGAGTCATCAGAAGAAAAAATTTTATGTGCGATAAGTGCATCTGAAAACCGAATAACAGCAAAAATTGACAAGGTTCAGCAAGAACTTGAAAATTTAAAATGTGAGGTAAGAAAAGTAAAACAAGATTGCAGTGAGAATAAAAGAGAAATTATAGATACTAAACAGAAACAACAGGATATCTTGTGGAATGTTGAAAGGCTGAATGATAATATGCAGCATTTAACAGATGAATATGAAAGACTTACGTTGGATGTAGATCACCTTAGTACGGAACTTGAAATTAAAAATGATAAAATAGATAAATTAGAAATGGATGCCGAAATGTTTGAAAAAGAGTCATTGAAACACAGAATGCGAATATTTGGATTAAAGGAAAATGTTCAAGAAACCGAGAGAGAGTTGAAAACAAAAGTGGTTGAAGAAGTGTTTAAAATAGCAAATCCTAAAGAAAAGTGGCATGTAGATGACATCAAATATGCATTCAGAGTAGGAAATAAACATGATAATAAAGATAGGATGGTAATAATTGATTTGAGATTTGATGACGACAAAGGTAAAATATATAAGGGTAGAACCGAGCTCAGAGAAATAAATATAAGGATAAGTGATGACCTTACAAGAAAACAACGTGAAAGGATGAAGACTTGTAAAGAAGAAGGTAAAATCGGATATTACTATAAAGGGCGATTTATGATTAGACCTGCTCGGAAAATGGGAAATGAAAACAATAATCAACGAAAGGAAAGCGTTAATAGTGAAAAGTTTGAGAAAAGTAATAACAGTGAAGAATATGGAGCAAACATGCAAAGAAAGCATATGGATTGGGAATCACAAGTTGGAGCTGATGAGGAAAATTCAGATTTATACATGGTTATAAACGATAAATGTGATAATTCATTTGCAGGAATCAAAGGTGTAAACAAAAATGCTGCTGGCAATGATAATGGTGTTTTATAGGGGTGTGGCCAAAGCACATTACAACTTTCAGAACTTAAGTGTGTTTGCTGGAATATTGAAGGATTGAACAATAAGATATTTGATAAAGATTTGATTGATTTTATTAAATCTTTTTATATTATAGGTTTTGTAGAAACATGGTTGTTAGAAAGTAACCAATTATTATCAAATGAATTGTATGAATATAATGAATACTTTATACAAGGTGTAAAACATTCAAAAAATGGTCGTCCAATGATAGGAATAAGTATTTTTATTAAGAAATCTTTGAATATGTTTATAAAACAAGTTGTAACAAATTGTGATTTTTGTACATTTATTGTCATTGACAAAAATTTGTTTATTGATAGCATAAAAGATAAAGTTATTTGTATTGTTTATTTACCTCCGGATGGTTCACCCTACTATGATAGACAAGAACTTGAAGGTATTGACCTTCTTGAACATAAATTATTAGAAATACAAGAAAAATATAATGTAGATGTATTTGTTGTAGGAGATTTAAACAGTCGTATTGGGAGGGAAATTGATAATCTTGGTTGCATAGATAATGCTCCTGTTTATGATGAATATAGGGATATATTAGATGATGAATATATACAAAAGAGGGTTAGTAATGATACAGGTGTAAATAAATTTGGCAAAGATTTTTTAAATTTTTGTAAATGTTACAATTTTATTATTGCAAATGGAAGATTGTTTAATGATTGTAACCAGGGGGCTTTTACTTATATAGGGCAAAATGGTAATAGTGTTATTGATTATTTAGTTGTGAGCCATGACACTATAGATGATATTAGTGCATTTGAGATAGGTACAAGGAGTGAATCAAGTCATATGCCTATTGTATTTTCTATAAAAATAAAAAATCTATGTAGAAATGATACGATGGTAAGACTGAGTAATGAACAAATTGTTAGATATAAATTTTCAGAACAACGTAAAATACAATTTTTGGAAAATATTGAGTTATTACTCAATGACAATGTTGTTGAAAATTTAATTAGAGAATGTAGATGTACTAATGTAGACGAAAATCAAATAAACTCTGAAATTGTTGAGATTCTTCTAAAATGTGGTGAATGTTGCAAACAAGTAAATAAAATATCCAGTAATTATCAACTAGAGTGGTTTGATCAAAGCTGTAAAACCGCAAAATTTGAGAAAAATAAGCGCTTACGGGAGTATAGAAGAAATCCAAATGACAGTAATTTAAGTGTATATAAACAGACTAGAAATTTTTTCAAAAATCAGTGTGAGAAAAGTAAAACAAATTTTTATAATAAACAATTAGATGAACTTACGGAAAATGTTAAAGACTCTAAATCATTTTGGAAAAAATTTAAGAAAATGGCAGGGAAAAAACAACAAATTACAAATTCTATTTCTAATGATAATTGGGTACAACATTTTGAGGAATTGTTTAAGTCAAATAATAATGATATTGAATGTATTGATATAACAGAAGTACATGTAGTTGAAGGTTTAGATTCTGAAAGTCTTGATGAAATTAAGGAAGATATATTTAATGAAGAAATCTCATATGAAGAAATCTTGAAAACTGTTAAATCATTGAAAAAAGGGTCTAGTAGTGGGGAAGATGGTACTATTCCTGAATTTTTTATTTTCTCAATTGACAAATTATTACCTATTTTTAGCTCGACTTTTCTATGAAAAGGGGAGCTATCCTACTCGCCCCGGCGTCGGCGTCGGCGTCACACCTTGGTTAAGTTTTTCGTACCACCCCACTTTATTTCAGAAGTATTACAAGTATGGCTTTGAAACTTACCATACTTGTTCACCATCATAACCTCCATCTACAGACAAGAGTACATAACTCTGTCAAGGTTTTTGACAGAATTATGGCCCTTTTTTGACTTAGAAAGTGTATTGAGCTTGGTTAAGTTTTTTGTACCACCTCACTTTATTTCAAAACCATTGGAGGTATTGCTTTGAAACTGACCATACTTGTTTACCATCACTACCTTCATCAACAGACAAGAGGACATAACTCTGTCAAGGTTTTTGACAGAATTATGCCCCTTTTTGACTTAGAAAATACATTGAATATGGGTAAAATCCACTTATTGCCTTAACCCTTTGAGATATTGCTTTGAAACTTTTAATGCTATTTCACATCATTACCCCCATCTGTACGCAAGAGAAGGTAACTCTGTCAAGGATTTGTTTTAAAAATTAAGGCCTTTTATCGACTTAGAATCTTGGTTAAGTTTTTAGTACCAGTCCACTTTTTGACTGAACTGTTTGAGATATTAATTTGAAAGTTGGAATACTTGTTTACAATCATGATTCCCAAACATGTCCAGGAGAAGGTAATTCTGTCAAAGATTTTATTTGAATTATGGCCCTTAACTGTCAATGTTTTGTATTATAGGCAAGCACTAAAAAAGTTTTTTTTTCTTTCTTACCAGCCCTCTTTTGACTTAAACATTTCAAACTTTGCTGCAGTGTTCAAGGGTATCACACAATTCAGTAAAATAATTCTTCACTAAATATCTTAATGCTCATGGCCATTGTTCACTTTAAAAATACAGAGATTCTTGTATTGCCTTTTACTGCAAAAACTTTTTTTATTGGCAAGCAATAAAAAAGTCGAGCGCGCTGTCTTACGGACAGCTCTTGTGTATAACTATTTTAACAAAATTTATAATAAAGGTATTTTTCCAGAATCATGGACAAAGTCCGTAATTGTTACAATTTATAAGAAAGGTGATAGAAATAATCCAAATAATTATAGAGGAATATCTTTATCAAACATTTTGGGAAAAATATACACTGGAATACTCTCTAGAAGACTTAACTTTTTTGTAAATGTCTATGGAATTATCAATGAGGAACAGGCAGGTTTTAGGGAAGGGTATTCTACTGTTGACAATGCTTTTATTTTGCAATCTATTGTAAGTAAACAGTTACAAAAAAATCGTGGTAAATTGTATGTAGGCATGATTGATTTTAAGAAAGCCTTTGATATGGTTAATAGAGATAAGCTTTGGAAAGTTCTGTGTAAAAATGGAATTGAAGGAAAATTATATAGGGCAATAAAATCTATTTATCATTCAGTTAAATCTTGTGTTAGAACTTCAGAAGGTATGACAAACTATTTTTATTGTGACAATGGACTTAAGCAAGGCTGTTTGATTTCTCCAACACTTTTCATTATCTATATAAATGAACTCATCATAAATTTGAAAAATAGTGAAATAAAAGGAGTTCAGTTATTTCCGGAAAATACAGAAATTCTGTCTCTACTTTTTGCAGATGATTTAGCCCTTATAAACGAAACAGTTGTAGGTTTACAAAGATTGCTTAATAAACTTAAACTTTTTTGTGATGAAAGTGGCTTAGAGGTGAATATTGAAAAAACCAAGATATTAGTATTTAAAAAGGGAGGTAGACTTTCTAATAAAGAGAAATGGTATTATGATGGTAAACTATTGGAAACTGTTTCTAAATTTTCATATGTTGGTGTAACAATGTCAAGACAGATGTCAATATTTAAAATGGCTGATGAACAAGCCATTAAAGGAAAAAGAGTTCTTATTTCTATTTTATCAAATCTTTACAAATATGGTCAGCTTAAAAAACATGTATATTTTAATATATTTGATACTAAAATAGTTCCAATATTATGCTATGGATCTGAATTATGGGGGTCGATTGAACATAAAAGTATAGAAACCGTACATAATTATGCATGTAAAAGATACATGTGTGTTAAACAATCAACTGCAAATGCATCAGTTTTAGGAGATTGTGGCCGTTATCCATTGTACATAACTACTGCATCAAGAGTTTTAGTATATTGGTTAAAGATATTAAGTTTACCAAATGATCGATATGTCAAACAATGTTATAATATGTTACTTATATATGATAGGAATGGAATGAAAAATTGGGCTACTAACATTAAACAACTACTTTATACAAATGGTTTTGGATATGTTTGGAATAACCAGGGAGTTGATAATAAGAAATTGTTCCTAAAAATATTTACAGATAGAATGAGAGATCAATATAGGCAGAACTGGCAAGAAAAAATAAATCAAAGTAAAAAGTTAGATTCATATCGTTTGTATAAATCTGAATTTATCCATGAGACATATTTATCTGTTGTTTTAATTCGTAAATTTAGAAATGCACTTGCAAAATTACGTACTTCATCACATGATTTAAATATTGAAAGAGGTAGATATAGACAAGAAGAGAGATCTGAGCGTATATGTAATTTATGTAAAGTTTCAGTAGAAACAGAATATCATTTTGTAATGGTATGTACGGCTTATGAAAATTTAAGATCAAAATACTTACCAAGCAAATATTTTGTTAATCCTAATATTCATAAATTTAATATCTTAATGAGTTGTCAGGCTGAAAATATTATAGAAAATTTGGCAAAGTTTGTGTTCCATGCCTTTGAAGAAAGAAAAAGATTATTATGTGTTAGAACATGAATAAATATGATAAACACCACTAGATAGTAAAAAGATTTTGTTTAACATAATGATATAATGTACTATATTCCATTGTATGAAATTGTATTGCTATGTTTATGTTGTTTTGGGCTAGAGGCCTTGAATCAATAAACTATTTGTCATTGTCATTTGTCATTGTCATTGTCAATTCCTCCTCTTGTCTTTGTTTTGAGCTATAAAAACATGGGGTTTCTTTTTAGTTTTTTTGTTTTTTTTTGTCAATAGTTGAAATAAATTGTATAAACAGTCATTTTTTCTCCCCAATTTGTTTTGAGTTATGAAAAAAAAATGTAAATGCGTACAAGATATTCAAGTTTCAAGTATATAATAGACAGAAAATTAAAGTTTTTTCTTTAAATACAGGATTTATTTTCATCAATTGATTTGAAAATCAATATTTCGCAAGTGGCAGGAGCCACAAGTGAAATATGATAATTTTCATATTACAAGATGAAAACAAATCTTGTATTTAAAGAAAAAACTCAAATTTTATGTTTATATACACTCTCTTTTAAAAAACTTTTTCGACCTTACAATTCTTAAGTCATTTACTTTAATTTTATGTATTGGCAGAATAAAGAAGAAAGTAGTCTGCTATGACACCAGTGAAAATATAATAAATATGTTTCACTGCAGTGGAAATACAGAAAATGAAAAAGCACATTGTATTTCATAAATATTTTTCAATATTTCATTTATAAATATATAAATTGATATTATACATAAAAGTTGAAATCATATATTACAGGTATTGTCCCCAGTGTAAGGAGCATAGGGAGGCAACAAAACAGTTATCAACGTGGAAATTACCACACACTCTGATTATACAGCTGAAGAGATTTTCTTTCCGCAACTTTATATGGCGAGATAAGATAGATAAAATGGTAGAGTTTCCCACAAGGTGAGTTGAGAAATAATTTTTTGAACAAAAAACAAAACAAAAAAAACAACTCATTTTTGATAAGCGCTTATAATAATATACTAGTTATTATGTGTGGCAATGAGTTCTTAAATGTATCAAAGGGGGATGCTTCGGCTTTCGTCATGCGTCAACAATCATCTTCTTCCCTTAAACCACTGGGCAGATTTACTTCAAATTTGGTCTGTAGCATCCTTGTGACAATCACACTTGAATTTATATGCTCATGCCATTCCAATTGGCCCCATTTAGGGGTCAGCAGAGCTAAAAAATAGAAAAACCTTTAAACATCTTCTTCTACAGAACTAATAGATGGATGATCACCAAACTTTGTCTGTAGCATTCTTGGGTAGTCTTTTATCAAGTTTGCTCATATGAATTTGATTGGCCCCTTTTAGGACTCATGGGCCTTCTTGTTTGAGGAAGCTATCCAGCGAGCTTACGGAACATAGGTGGTTCTACTCAGGTGCCAGTTAATGCCTGAAATAATGCATGGAATGGCATCTTAGGTCTTCCTCCATTTCTAAAGCTGGGAAGACACCATAAGAAAAAAAAAGAGAAGAAAAAAAATCATCGAATTTGATCAAGACGGTAAGGTGTCCGAGCTGAATCACTTGCCCCTTACAGTTTTGAGTTGGAATCTTGCCAGGCACTGTTATTCTTATTAGAGGAAAGTTATCCAGCATAACTAAGGATTCGATGATTTTCTTTCATTTTTTCATTCAAAGATATTTTATCATGTATTTTTTTATCACATGCATAATTTTGTTCTTGTTGATTCCATGTTTATCTATGCTGTTGTTTATTTTAATGGTTGTATAATATTACAGAGGTTTGGACTTGTCAGCGTTCTATGTGGGAAGTCGACCGAGTAATGAACCTCCACCGATATATGACCTTTATGGGGTCGTCAATCATCATGGGGGTATTTTAGGCGGACATTATACAGCACATGTCAGATGTGCAGATCTATCACCTGGTGTAACTAGTGAAGTCGGTAAGTTAGATGACGTATTGTGCAGTATTTCTATTTAGCAGTGAAAATTCCTATATTTTTTAGTTCCAACAAAAAATTCCTTTATTTGATCCTATATTTTAGTAGACCCAAAGTTATATATACAATGTATGCCCATCTAATAGGAAAGGAGAGTGTTTATGAGGGACAGTTTTATTTTATGTGAGGTAATTTCCCACTTACCTGATAGAAGTATGACATTCAATAACAAAAAATAGAAATTTAAGATTGATCACCTATATTTGAGCCGTGTCATGACAAAACCAACATAATGGGTTTGCGACCAGCATGGATCCAGACCAGCCTGCGCATCCACACAGTCTGATCAGGATGCATGCTGTTCGCTTACAAACTCTATAACAAGTAGAGAAACTGATAGCGAACAGCATGGATCCTGATCAGAATGCACAGGCTGGTCTGGATCTATGCTGGTCGCAAACCCATTATGTTTGTTTTTGTTTTGTCATGATGATAATGCATCTCAATAGATGTGAAAATATTTTGCTGATTTAAAGAATGTGTCAATATGGTGAGATAAATGTCATTATCTTGTTATACTGACAGTTTTTCATTTGATTTTGACCTTCTCTTGGTTTCTCATTATGTGATAAATGACACATTAACTGTTAAAAGTACCTGTTGAATGAATTTAAATTGTTGATAAAAGTGTCAACTATCTTATCACATTTGATGGATAAATGTTTAATAACCTTTACATGAAACAGTTTGTATATTGGATAGATGTGTCTGGTGAACAGAGCTGAAATTCTGTTGTTTTTTTTTATTTTAATGGTGTCCAAATTTTTTTTTTCCAATGTCATATTTTAGGTTGGAATCTAATCTGAAATATAAATATCTTGAAAGAAATGGAAATGATGCATGGACCACAACCACCACCACATTATGATGTATTGTTTTTCGATTTTATAAATATTCATCTTTTCTGAGAATTTTTTATTGCCAGATATCCCACCAGTTTTGCAACCAACAAACATTTTTCAAAAAAGAAACAGCACATAATTTGTTATGAAAATAGAGATATTATACAGTATTATTATTTCATGTATGCATTCTCATATATTAAACTTTTATAGGCTGGAGACTTTGCGATGACAGTCGGGTTTCAACAGTGAGTCATGAAAAAAATGTTGTGACTCGTGCGGCGTATCTGTTATTTTATCGTCGGCGAGAGGTCTTTGTTCCTCCACCTCCGGTTGTTTCCGGTGAGTCTGTGGAGGATGACGATGAATACCAGTCTGCGAGTTCCGAAATTGAGGAGGTGTCAGAGTTGCCCGGAAACATACAAGAGGAAGGTCATGCAAGGTTGGTAATTGACACATCTAGGGATACCGAAGATTCTACTTGTAAAGATGATATTGAGCTTGTGGAAGCAGATTTCAGAGAAGAAAAGACTGTGACTGAAGGTGAACAAGTGACTGTTATAGCATCTGATGAGGAAGATTTAGGTTATACAGACATGGACTCAGTTGATTAAATTAGATTTCTACTGTTTAATAACATACTGAAGAAACTAAAGTTTTAGTTATTTACAAGCAGGAAATATTTACTAGCAGGAACAAAAAGACTTGCAGGAGGATAAATGAAAGGAGGGCAATTCACTTCCTGTTGTTATGAAATAATATTGAGTGGTGTATATATGTAAAAATTCAAGCACAATTAAGAATTAGAGTTTCATAATAAATTGGTTATACCAGTTATTGAAATCCTTTTGTAGATAGTATTGTTAATAATGTTTTAAACTCATAATAGAAGGGAATTGCTGTTTAAAGCAAGATGATCAAAACAATAAGTCTTAGTTTAACTATTAGCAAGAATTTCTAGGGTCTTTATATTATATAGATAGATATTGTTCTTGTGATAAATTTTTAAATGTTTTTTTTTAGCATAGCTAAAAGATTTTGAAGTAAAACTTCATTTGAAGAAGTATAAATTGAGGACCAGCCCTAGGCAATGTCATTATTTTCTAAAAGAGGTCATGCAGTTTTCCTTGGGACATATTTCTTTATTATAGTAATTATAATAACAAAAGTTGTCAAAACTAGGTTGAATTTGAAAAATGGTTTAATTTAGAGTAACAAGTAACTAAATAAATTTTTTAATAAATTGATGAAATTTGGATTGTAAATTGGTAATATGGAGATTTTTCCTTTCCTTTCTGAATTCTATAAATGGATTTGCACTGCTTACAGTTTTAAACTGTTCTTAGCAATTTGAAGATATCAAGATATAAATTTAGTCAACAATATAGAGCCTGGTCAGACTGGAGGGATATAAAAGCAGGCATGGGGTTAAACTGGTGGTAAAGGGAAACTACTCTCATTTCCAGCATGGTAATGAGTTACAGCAAATTATTTTGCTTTTCTCAGGTCAGGTCAGAACTCTTGTTACTTTGACAAGGTTTGATATGTGAAACTTCACATAACTGAAACCAAAAGTATCAAGCCAGATTAATTTCACTTTTAATCTTGGCACATGGTAATGTGAAGATTTGAACATGTTTTTTATTTTGTTTATATTATGCTATCATGTATGACCAGTTAGCCTGCTTGTTACTTATTCTACCCATGGGACTTGAACGTCTGCTGCCTAATCATGATCTGCTCTGTTTGCTATTAAGTTGGTACTTATTTTTAAATTTTTTCCCTAAAAATGATAATTGGTTTTATCAAGATTGAAAGATTAACAAGTTCGTTTAAGATAAGTAGCATGGTAATGGTTGTAAAAGCATGTTAAGAAAACATTATGAAAGTATGCTAAATAACAAAAAAATGTTCAAGTCAAGTGACTAAAGATAGCCATATGCTCCTTTTTTACATGGAAATTTTGTTACTTTCATGTTAGGAAGCTATCCAATTAGCTTATGGAACACCAGTGATTTTACTCAGGTGCCTGTTCGCGCCTGAAATAATGCACAGAGGGGGCATCTGACGTCTTTCTCCCCCTCCCCCCATAAAAGAATTACTTTTGTCATTATATCAAAATAACCAAAGATAACTCATACTCAATAAGTGTCAGGCTAGGGTGATGAAAAGAGTATATTGAGTCATATTTGTTGTGAAACATTCAAAATGTTACACAAATCATGAATACATGAGCATTTCATGAATTATTTGTATATTTCCAGTAATTGTACATGCTGAAATCATCAGATATAGCTCTGAATATACTTTTTACAATGCAATATTTACCTCCTTTGGTCACCATTTTGGGGGTCATTCGTAATTTATCTTGTGGTTCAGATTAGATAAAAATCTCTCATAATTCTATCATCTATATGAAAACTCATAAAATCTTTTACATATTGGTGCTATGATAATATTGAGCTGCATATGTTTAAAACAATTTGACGCAATGCACATAAATTGGCTGTGTATATTGATTTTTTTAAATATTTTGTCAATTGTATTATAAAGAATATTGACCCTCCCCCCCCCCCCCCAAAAAAAATGGCTGCCACTTTGGCAAGGGAGGTAAATATTGTAAAAAAAGGAGCTATTTATTGTCTGATTGGGCACATATAACTATTTTCAGTCTTTCTCTTTGTGTGATTGCCTATAGAAATCTTTAAATGTAATTCTTGAAAGGCAGATGGACCCTCATTAAGCCAAGAATACGCGCTCATGCACATACACACCGCTCACGCTCATACACATGCACACCTGCACACACATTCATGACTGCATTTCTGATGATGTAATACTGAAGGTAATATTTATGGAATAGCAATTATCATATTAAGGAAACCATTGGAGAAATTGAACTAAATAATTATTACATTTTACATTAAGATCTCATTTCAATTTACAATTTTTTATGTAGCGTAAGTTTGCATTTATTTAAGTATTTATGTAAATATTTATTGCTTTAAACAAAATTAAAGAAAATGTATTTAAAGACACAGAAACAATTGTATTGTTAAGAAGGAACCTTACATTTTTGGGTCTGAATTTTCAGGGTTTTGTTATTTTGTAGTCTGTGTTTGTTCAGAAACTTCATTCTTAACTTCCCAGGTCATTACAAAATGTTTTCAGCATAGTCAACCTTATTGTGTATTCAAAGACCAATTATGATATTCAAATAGTTTTAACACTCAAGACAATGGTTTTAATGATATTTTATCTGAGTATTTAAACTTTTGTAAAAACTTTTAATTAAAGGTACATTATGCCCCAGAAACAAATGTTTTTCCCCTTCTTTAGAACGACAAACATGAGTGTTATAAAGTTTAAGTAATGATCTCAGAGAGTTTTAAATATTAAAAGTAATAATGCATGTGAATTTATTTGCCATAAATGTAGCAATATGTAAACAAATTAGTATTTACTTCTATACAAAATACTAAATCACTATATAACTATACTCATTGGCAAAATGCTACAGAAACAAAACATGGGTCAGGTAATTGTCTAGTGGGCAATTTTTTGAAATCTATAACAAGACAATCCCCCCAACACATAAAAAAAGCTTTTAAGATATAAAAGTAGAATTTCTGGAGAATAATGGGCCTTTATACAATAAACTCCTTTTGCTGTAAAGCTCGTTTTAAGATCTTGCTGTAAGAGTTCCATCATTATTTTAGCTTAATTTATTGACTTGTTATTGTATTTTGTTATGAATTTACATTTAGATAAACTTGAACAATGTAACACTGTTAAGGCAGATATTAATTCTTAAACTCAAATTTTTACCTCAAATTTTATTGTTATTTTGTTAATCATAAATTTCAATTTAAAGTTTTTCTAACTGATGGCATTATATATTTCTGGTGTTGTTTTTTTTTTGTTTTTGTTTTTTTTTTAGGAAAAAAAAATCTCTTGCCAAATCTCTTATTTTCAGGGAAGATGTCACCATATTTGCTTATTGTTACTATTAAAACTAAGTTTCTAGGACATTATTTTTGTCAAGCTTTTCATTTCTTACTCGGTAACAAAATATAAAGCAAGTACCCATAATCCTCTGACGTGTTCATAATTGTTATGTATTTTCTTCACAAAATAAAAGTCTCAGAATGGCTATGATACGTGTACTTTAACACTTTACCTGCTGAAACCGAAAGTAATAAACCTTTACCACCAGTATAGAGCCAGGCCAGCTTGCACATACTTGCCGTCTGACCAGTTTCTGCACTGTCGGCATCTCAGTTTTTGAATTTTGACATTAAATCCCGTTAAAGCTTGAATGGAATATTCCATATTCAAAAATTGGAAAATCCATTACACAAATTCAGAAGGTAATGGTTAAAATGATAGAGTATTACAATCAAACATCTCTTTTTTTTTCAGAAAAAAAAGACACTAATTTGTTAACCTTTAACCTACTTAATTTCTGAAATGAACTTGTCCAGCTTTCATTTTTTAGAACAGTACATTATCGGTTTTGGGGATATCATGATAAAAAGTTGAAAAGATATAGAGTCTGGTTAGATTCATATATATTGTTGGCATCCCTTTGACATTACAAATTGTAAAGGTTATTCCTTTTTAGATTGGGGTGTTTTTTGTTATTTTTTTATTGCTTGAATATTTTAATAAACATAAATAAAATTTTTTAGATATTTAAGTTTTCCACTTTAAGTTTTCTTATATTGTTTGTTTTTTGTTGCAAAAATTAAATTTGGTTCAATTTATGTATTTTTTAATCTTTTTCATGGGAACTTTACCATTTTTCAAAACCATTGGAAAATTTGAAAATTTATAGTCTTTAGGCTTTGTAAGCATACAAATGTTCGTTGAAAATATTTCCGTCCTAAAAGTGAGGTATATGGTATAATATGTCCGAAAATTTGTCATGTGAGTAAAGAATTCTAAGTTATTCTCTTAAATTTGATAATCGTATCAAAATATATATGGATATATATGAAAATCATAACAATCCGTTAATAATTAAATAGTTTACCATACTTCAACTCAAAGCTAGACAAAAGGTCAGCTGTCTCTGCTGTTGTTACCTTGTGGTTATGAGGTCCGTCTCTATGCTCAGTCATCAATGTGATTGAGACCAGTTAGGTCATTTGAGCCGCGTCACGACAAAACCAACATAATGGATTTGCGACCAGCATGGATCAAGACCAGCCTGCGCATCCGCGCAGTCTGATCAGGATCCATGCTGTTCGCTATCAGTTTCTCTACTTGTTATAGGGTTTGTAAGCGAACAGCATGGATCCTGATCAGACTGCGCGGATGCGCAGGCTGGTCTGGATCCATGCTGGTCGCAAATCCATTATGTTGGTTTTGTCATGGCGCGGCTCATATATTTTGTTGGTGGATGTAAGCGGAAGGTAACTTGTATAACAAGGTTCAATTGAATGTGTTTAACTAGTGACTGTACGGGAAAAGTTTTCTTTGCTTTCCAATCGTTGGATCATACGGATATTATATCACTTCATTTAATTGTTACACTGAGTACTAGTTTCTTTACATTAGCCACATTGTATCCGGCAATACCAACACTTGATCACGTTCTGTCATGACCAGGAATATATGAACACGGCAAGCATCATATAAATTACAGATATCTAAATATTGATATAATTTTAATACAACTAAAATGTATTATGTTTCAGAGTGATAGAATATTGGTATTATATAACGGCACTCTTTTGTCAATAAAACTATCTGACTAGAAATGATTCTTTAAATTTGTCTGATAAGTGTGTATTGCCAAATGCTACGAATTATTTGTTTAAAAAATTGACGAAACATTCGATAAAGATCGTTGTCTTTTTGGTTCAGTGACGTCGAAATCAATTAACCCCTTTGCTGTAGTTTGGAATCTTACGAAGAGCATTAGCTTCATACATTTAAGTTACAAGTTATTCTGAAAGTCCAGTGGTCATTGTACGCACCCGAATATGTTTAAAATAACGCCGGTAATGAACAAATGAATGACGTAAGCAGTGCCGCTCTTAAGTACGCCTCAATTTTTTATATAAATTCCTGAAGTATTTATTTGTAGCAATATGGCGATACGAAAAAGAAAGAAAGAAGACCTGGATTTCTAGTATATTTTTAAAAGTTGTTTACTTTAGAATTATGAATTCCTTTAAAGATCATGAAACATACAGAAACAATTTTAAGCCCATGTGCATAATCATAAATAACTTTTCGGTTCTTTCCGTCAAACTTCAAAAAGCCATAATCAAATTAATAATTATTCGGCAAAGTGTTCCGAATGAACAAAAAATATGCATAGTCGATGCCAAAATAATACATTTTTGTATCATTCACTCTGTTTGTTTTTGCTTTGTTTGTAATAAATTTGTTCATGAGTTCTTAAATATGAATATTTCGTAACTGAATAAACAAACGCAATGTTTTTATGTGTAAGATGCAAAATGTAAGGGTCATGCTTGCCCTTAATCGGCCTCACTGACCCCAAGTGAAGTATAATGCCACCTATGGGTGAATGATAATGCAAAATAAACCCCTTTCATGTCAATAAATGAATGCCGTATGGAGAGAGTAGTAGCTTTGATTTAAGAGAACGCGACACTAACCATATTTATAACAGTGCAATTTCATAACTAAGATATCGATATATCAATAAATACTTGAGGAAAGAAATTGGATGGGTCCAATAATGTCTCAATGGATATAGCTTGGTCAAGCTTGAAATAAGTCTAATAAGCCTTGCTGCGCATCAAATATCTACAATAAAGACTGTTTGGTGTCTTACATGACAAATATTTAAGTCTTTTATGTATAAATCAAGATACAATCAATTAATCTCAACTGGGACTCAAATAGACCAAAGTGATACCCTTTAAATTTCAGAAGGTCACGATTTGAAAAAAAAAATGCAATGAAAATGAAAAAAAGGTAGAGACCCAATAGGCAATGTTTCATATCAAATATCTAAAATCCATGCCTTAAATTGCTTTGCTTAAGACAAGGAAGGACATTGTAGTTTGTTCACTGTGTTCATTTGATATAAAACAGGATAGATCACTGTGTTGGGTCAACGCGATTATTACAATATACATAATAAGACGCCACCTTCAATACCCAAATTCTAGACTGGAAATTTTTTAATATACTTTCAATTTGATTCTGTATAATAAAATTCATCTCTACGGCGTGATAAACTTAGTCCCGATGTTTTCATTTTAAGGGTTCTATTAAAATACTTTATCTAGGCACACCAGGTTACAGCCTTCTTTGTGAAGAGCCTCTTACTTAATGTGTTTTACTACTTAATAATAGAACATCTTTTTTTTTAATAAGATTTGAAATATTGCTGATTTTCTCTTATGGGTATATTTCAATTGCAGAATAAACTAGTGTCTCAGAAATATCCAAAAGTATCATTCTTGAGCAAGAACACACATTGCTTATTATGCATATTATTAAGAAATATCATGACGTTTATCCAATAAAGTTAAGTTTTATCGCATGAAAATGCTATAAAAGAAAACTTGCAATAAATCACTTGA